TCCTACAAAATTTAAAAAATGAATGTTTTTCAAAATAAATGATCATATATTTTTTATTCAATCATTCTTTTATAACTTCATAATCATCTAAAAGTATCATTTCCTGGGGATCTTTAGGCTTCACCTGGATATTGAAACCTAATTATTTAAAATAACCCATCCAATAATTTCCCAGTGTCCCAATTCAAACTCGATTTTTCAATTATATAATTTCAAATACTAATTAGTTTACGAACAAATCAATGAGAACTTGCGAACAGACTGTTTAAATAAATTAGTAGAGGTTGGTGCAACTGGGTTTGGTAAAGAATCCTTATATATAAACTATAATCTTGTTGCATCGACGCCGTGCACTTAGGTACCAATGTTGAGAATATTTTATCAGTGGAAATTATTTTCGGGGGCTTCCGTTTCAGTAAAATTGCAGAATCGAATACAATAAAATAGAATTGCTTTTATCTGGTGCTTTGAGATATAAAGATTCCCTAAAAGGTAATCCGATGATTTACACAAACATCATTTCTTAATATCGATTGCGGTTTGTTTGGTTTTGTTTTATACATAAGATTCTCAACATTATGCACGATGATTATTTTTTCCAACATCATGTTATTTTTAAAAATTTTCAGATTTATCTATACATCATCTGTATGAATTTGTTGTAATTTCTCGTACCCTCATCTATTATTAACTTCCCGATTCCTATCGGGTAGTTATTATGAGTGTGATTTCTGTCATCATTACTCGGTGACTCCGAGTAAAACTTGAACTTATCGGGTGCGAGACGTCCGATACGACTGACATCTATGTCTCACACTGTTAGAAAAAAAATGAAATTCCGTGGCCAGTTGACTACTAATCAGGGATGGCCAATAATATTAGGTTTTGACAATATTCAGAAGGATTATCTCCTTATATTGTTCAAAGTTTAACTATATTTAACAAATTTAAAATATTATACAATTTAAAAACTAAATTTTCCGATTAATGGTGAATAAAATATTTGATAATATAGAAATATAAATTTTTAGTTAACAAATTACTTCTAAATTTTAGGTACTTGATGTTCGATTATCGAAATAATCGTCAATCTTCCTACCTAAATTATTGGTTAATAGAATATTTCAAAATTTGGAAAAATTACAAACATCTCAAGATGACAACCATTTATATTCCTCACTTGTACATTGGATTACGAAGAACACTATCTGAGCATCATGAAGAGCATCAATTTGTAATGAATCACTGATTTGGAGAAGGCATGAAAAATTAGTGAGCTAAAAGCGAATTCCTCGAAAACATGAGAATACGACTCTTTGATTAAATCAAACAAAATACTTCCAAATTCACTTCAAGGTGAATAAAAAAAATTGTTTCGAAAAGTGAGGCTCAGATGTTCCAAAATCATCTGAAACGTGGAAATTTCATATCCCCTGGGAAAGTGTTTATACGACCTTTTGGCCCAAATTTTCAAAAAATTGAAAAAACGACGCATAAAAGATGAAAAAAATTGTCTCGAAAAAATGAGCTCAGATGGCTCAGAATCATCCAAAACGTTGAGATTTCATATTCCCTGGGAAAGTATAAACACGACCTTTTGGCCCAAATTTTCGGGAAAATAAAAAAAAATGTTTATACGACTTTTGGGACAACTCACGCGATTTTCATTTTTTAAACCTCATAAGTGAACGCAGCTCTTCACCGAATGTGCACTAAGAGGAAAATCGATATACACGGAGAGAAATTTTGTTAGAAAAATTCTAGTACTAAGCCCAGGAAAGAGGCACAAAATGACTCCCAGGAAAAAATTCCAGTGCCGACACTAAAAATTTTATTGGGGAAAACGTGAATTTTTCTCCCTTATTTCTGTGAAAATTTCACAGAAATCCCCAGAAATTTGACCAAGAAAGTTTACCTTAATAGCATTAGAATTTCTCACAGCCAGTTGTGACAACTGTCACAACGAGAATAAATTAATTTAAAATGAATAATTATAAGGAAAGAATTTTAGGAAAGTTTAAAGAAAATAAAAGCTTTAAATTTCTGTAGAAATATAGGAAAGCGTATGAGAAAAAGAATAAGCAAAGAAATTGAAACAAAAGTTAAAGAAAAAGTGAACTTTGAAGAAAAATTGAGAAAATTGAACAGGTCGAAATTAAAAACGGAAGCGCGCGCCCGAATCGAGCGCCGCGGGAAACACGGAGCCTTTCGCGCGCCCAAACTAGGTGGCGTCGAAGCGCCCGCGGGAAACACCGAGCGTTTTGCGCGCAAAAAGTCGGAGAGGGAGAGTGGGATATAGAGTGGGGGAAGGCTAGTTGGCGGGGTTGAGCGCCTATAAAAGCAGGCAGCTCGCGACGAAAAATCAGTCTGGCAACGGACTCATCCTCTACTGACTGATCCCTACCGCAGTAGCTCCTGAACCCATAGCCACAGTGGTCTCTACCCGTGGTATCCTTGCCCACTACTTCTGGTCTCTACCGCTGTAGTACTCCACTCCCTATCGACAGTGGTCTCTACCCGTGGATTCTTTCCCACTACTTCTGGTTTCTACCGCTGTAGTATCCGAATCCTTGTCCGCGTGGTCTCTACCCGTGGATTCCTCCCTACTACTGGTTTCTACCGCTGCAGTAATCCATTCCCTATCCACAGTGGTCTCTACCTGTGGATTCCTCCCCACTACTTCTGGTTTCTACCGCTGTAGTACTCCACTCCCTATCCACAGTGGTCTCTACCCATGGATTCCTTCCTACTACTTCTGGTTTCTACCGCTGTAGTCCTCCATTCCCTATCCACACTGGTCTCTACCCGTGGATTCCTTCCTACTACTTCTGGTTTCTACCGCTGTAGTATCCGAATCCTTGTCCACAGTGGTCTCTGCCCGTGGACTCCTTCCTCCGTCCATACGAAATCCCGGACTCGGAGGTTACTACCCCCGAAGAAGGGTAGGATACCTGTTCCACAGGGGCACTACCGTGGAGCAGTGTTAGGGCGACTAAAACCAGTGGTTTCTACCCGGTGGCGGTCTTGTAGGATACCTGTTCGAGTGGGGCATTACCCTGGCGCAGTGTTAGGATGACTAAAGCCAGGGATTTCTACTCGACAGCGGTCGCATAGGAAACCCTGCTCCGATGTGGCTTTACCTCGGAGCGGCGTTAGGGAAACTAAAACAAGTGGTTTCTACCCGGTGATAGTTTCAAAGGGTACCAAGGCAGCAGATACAGGTAGAGAAAAAGTTAGGACGATTTGAATAGAATGAAATAGAAGGGAACTATTTTGAGTAAAACCCAAAAGGCTTTGATATTTCAGTATAGAAACTGGATGTCTTAGATAAGAAAAGCAGAGAGCTATTCTTGAGTATTACCCAAAGGTTATGATATTTCAGTGTAAACTGGATTTCATAAATTCATGTAATAAAGTAACTAGAGTAATAATTTTTTGACTTGTGTAGGCTTAACGCCATTAAGCTTTAAGAATTCTCAAGAAGAAATTGAATAATAAACAGTAGAAAAGGGGAAAATTGGATACCCACCCCCCTTAAAATTGCACAGAAACTGTTGTAAGAAGTTAAGGTTATAAAATAGACAAAATCCATGAGATTGTATGTATCAGTTTTAGGGTTTAAAGTTGAATAAATATAATTATTATTCTTCGTTTAAACAAACGTCCGTTTAGTGAGTTTTGTATTTGTACCAGTATCGCTCAAATTTGACGAATCCTGGAAATCTCTAGAGCTAAAAGGCAGTTCACCGAGGGTATTCCGATTCATTCGGTCTAGCACTGGTTGAACGCTTGTATTTCAGAAAGAGGAAATCAAGTGGTTCGTTACACAGTGAATTGTAATTTTTTCCAGTACTCGTACTAGAATTTTTCTAGAAAAATTCTCTCCGTGTATCACAAAATCACTTCTTGAGCGAAAAACATTGCATAGATATGAGACCAATTTATGGTAGGTTTCAGACAAGAAATCGATGCTGTTCGGGCTAAGGAGGAAGGTACTGAATGAAAAAATAATGTTTTTTTTCGAAATGATATAGCTTGATATTCCTTCACAGACAAGAATAGTTTGACAGAGGGGAAAGATATTGCTTCCTTTCGAACTTAAAGTGATTGAGCGTAAGCGACGGTTATATTTTTTTAATATCTGGAGGCTCTTCTCTGCATACACTTTCTATTCATTCAATATGAACGTCTCTGATTCATGATTCACTGAATCGAAGCTTTAAATATTTATAGTTATTTTCTCATCTTATGACAAGAAAAAACCGATTTCTTGTGGCAAGAAATTCTCACTTTATCATGAAAGGTTCATGTTCAAGTCATGAACACTTCACCAAAATCTGACATTGTCTGATACATTATCTGGAATTCTTATCCCAAGAAATTTATCGTCAAGAGATGAGACATTTGGCGCACGAAATTAATTGTGATATTAAGACGATATTTCTCTCAGTGTACATACAGATATTTTTTGAAAACACCTCTTTAGTTTCATGACATTTCTAGGCATTCCCACCCAAAATTAGGTAATAAAAAAAATCACAATTACATAGCTTCCATTCAGAAGCAGAATGGTTAATGTGTTCAATATATTTGAAAGTGGGAATACAAATTTTTCACTCACGACGTTTTTGTGTCAAAGGAAAAATCGAAAAACGGCGGGGATTCCCACAGCGTGCGACTATTTAAGGGTTTAATATTTGAACTGAATTCTTATTTGGCTTCACACTTTGGTTAGGAGTTGAAAATCCATATTTCACGACATCAATATGTGAACTGTTTGTGAACTAAAATTTACAAATTCCTTTTTCTCTCCTCTCTTTCATAAATATTTATTGTTTTCATGAAAAAATATGAAATAAATGGTTTTTTAACTGTTTCTTTTAAAGCCTTCTATTTTAACCCTCTACGACATGCATTACACCCTCAAATCATTGACTAGTCTGCTCTTATTTACAAAATCATTAACTCTGTAAATATTCTTGAAAACATAAACATTTCAGTCCGCCCCAGGGCAAGTTTACGAAGCAGTAAAAACAGCCATCAGTATGGGCTACAGACATTTGGATTGTGCCCCAGTATACGGCAACGAGAAGGAAATTGGTGAAGCAATAAAAACTCAAATCCAGGAGGGTGTAGTAGAACGTAAAGACATATTTGTGACCAGTAAATTGTGGTGCACAATGCATAACCCAGCACTGGTGGAGCCTGCACTAAAAAACACGTTAGAAGATTTGTGCATCGATTATCTTGATCTTTACCTAATCCATTGGCCATTTGGTTTCAAAGAGGGTGACGAACTATTTCCAATTCTTCCAAGTGGTCAATTTCATGGGAATGATGTCGATTATATCGACACGTGGACAGCGATGGAGAATTTGGTCCAGAAGGGTCTGGTCAAGAATATTGGATTGAGTAATTTCAATTCCCACCAAATCAATCGCATTTTGAATAACTGTAAGATCAAGCCAGTGAACAATCAGATTGAGTGCCACCCATATTTGACCCAATCCAAATTATCCGATTTCTGTAAATCCAAGGGGATAGTCATAACCGCTTATAGTCCACTTGGGTCACCAGACAGACCGTGGGCAAAACCCGAGGATGCGCAACTACTCAACGATCCTAGGCTGAGATCTATCGCTGATAACTACGGTAAAACCACTGCTCAAGTGGTACTTCGTTATCAGGTATACTATCAATGGGGCTAATTACACGAGAACCTTAAGTCGTGTTAAGTTTATGTATACTCCCGCGCCTAAAAGAAGTCCAACGCTGCGTGCACCGCGTTGTGGTGTTGATGCGAGATTGTTTTTCGTGACCAAGTACTCCCCAAATCGGCTATTTACACCGCGACTTCAAGTCACGCCAAATACGACTACGTTTATGTCTACTCCGGCGCAAGTTTTGAGTTGTTTTTTTTCACATTAAAGAAGGGAATTTATACAGCGTTCCACATCTTTGTGACGTGTTAAATCAGTTAGTGGAGGATCAACGATTTTCTAATGAATAATCATTGCTCTGAATTATGAATATTGATAAAATAAAGGAATGGGAGCGCGCCGCGTCACTGTCGCACAGAGCTCCAACAACATAGTCCATGAACGTCACTGCAGCAGCCAATGTCTCAGAGCCTCGGATAATTTCTACTAGAGTATTTAAGATCAACTATGCGTTTTCACTGAGATATGGCTAGTAGTAGACATAAACTTAGCCGTGCTTGACAAGACTTGAGGTCCTCTGTATAATTCCATTGTCGATTATAATTCCAATGTTCAATGGTCAAACACAGGGAGACAAAAATTTCAGAGAAATTACCACACTCGCATGCTAAACTGAATTGAATCATTTTTGCTTCCGAATAGAAGCTTTGGAATCGTTCAAAATTAAGTTTCCAAATTTTTGTGTCAGGGTAACTAAATATGGTCTAAAAAGTCAAAATATGGGATTTTTAGATGGTGTCTGTATGTATGTATGTGTGTGAAATTTTTTTTAATTTTCCTCTCGCAATTTTCTTTATAGGAGCTTGATGAAATCTCATGAATTTCTCCATGGATATAGACGTTAATAGGCTCTATTTATCGACACCAATTAAAGTTGAATTATTCATAGAGTTTGTGAAATATTGGCATTTTTTCAAAAATCTATTTTTTAACGCTCAGTTCAAAAATTGTTATTAGAATTAAATGAATCATTGCTTAAAAAATTTGTATTGATAGTCTCTTGATTCTATCAGAATATGATGCGGATCACATCTATCACTGTTGAGCTACAGCATATCAGTAGCGAACTGGTAAAACGGTATAAGTCAATTTTGACTATTGACCAGTTTTTAATAAATATCTCGGAATCTAAGGGAGCTGGCCAAATTTTTGTTGTAACCTTTTTTGTAGAGCCGATTGAGAGCTGTAACAAATGTAATTATAAAAATTTCGCTATCTCCGTTAGATTCGGAAATATTCCTCAAACAATTAACTGGGAGATAAATTCACTGAAACCGGTTTACCACTTCGCTACTGATATAGTTTGTGAGATTTTTTTTTCATTTTTTTCATAATAAACTGGAAAGAGTAACAGTGATATCAATGAGATCACGGCTCAAAAAGATTGTTTTGATGCTTTCTCGGTGAAGTGCGCAGATGATGAAAATAGTATAACTATTTATTAAGTTGCATAATAGCAATATGAAGCTTCATATGGAGGTCATATGGGGGTTATATGAGGTTATGGTGTCATAATGGGCTCATATGGGATGATATGGGCTCATATGAGGATCGCATGGGGTTATACGGGATTCATATGGAGGTCATATATGACAATATGAGGGTCATATGGGCTCATATAGGGTTATATGAAGTGATATGGGTTCATGTGAGGTTTATATAGGGGCTGTATGAGGTCATATTGGAGTAATATGGCCTTATATGGGGGTCACACGGGGTCATATGGGTTGTGACGAGGCATATTCATTTATTTTTTATTACTTTTCTACATATTTTTTCCCACTACACACTGCCCCCTAAAATGTAAATCCCGCCACCGTTGGATACCCCTTCCCTCACTTTTCCCCTCATCGCCTCTCTACCCCTGCCCCTGGACATCACGAAGACATCAGCCGAAGGAAGACATCAGTTCCGGCCCCACCCAATCAATTGGAGAAGCCATCGCCTCCGGAAAATTCCCCACACTGGACCCCCGAATATTCAACATCTGCAATAATCCCTTGCGAGACATCCCTGGATTATGGTCATCGTCACCACTCACCCGTGCTGATTGGCCCCGATTGCTCCCGAATTAAAACCCGAAGGACTTCGACACCTGACGAACCCCCACGAATCGCGAAGGAAAAGAAAAGACCGTCACTCGTGCACTAGCTGCCCCGTGAGTCGCCACGTACCCCGAAAGTAGTAATAGTCAATACAGTAAAATTCGCCCGGAAGTTATTTGGCGGATAAAAAGAGGACTTTTGATACATCGAGCTCATCCCCGCTCTAGTATTGGTGCCCAGGAAACCCCGAGGTGGAAAGGAGGCTCTCCAGGAAAACGCCCTGGTATTTTGAAGGAGTGCAAGGCGCCGGTGGAATTCCACGTGTTCGCCAGAGTGAAGTCCCATCGTGAGTACGAGTTACCCCCCTCATTTTCCCTCTTGTCCCCACAGTATTCCTTTTCATACCCCCCAACTGTGAGCCTACACTCTTTTGTTTCTTCCCCATTCAGTCATTACTTTCATATTTAGTTGCATTCCCTCGACACGACTAGCTTCTCCCCTTTTTCTGCATTAGAGTCACTCCCCTTTTTACGTGTACAAAAGTTGCCTGGCCTTACCCATAACCCTAGATCCAAGTAAAAGGCATTTCNTACATTAGAGTCACTCCCTTTTTAGGTGTACAAAAGTTACCTGGCCTCCCCCACTCCCTAGATCTCAGTAAAGGCCTTATTTACGTCTTTTGACGATCATAATTATATTTAGAAAAGAATATAGATTACTATTCTCTCAGTATCCCTTATTTGTCCCTTTTCTTGACTCGCAGCCGGTCTCCACGGGTGAATGGTGACGATGACCACAATCCAGGGATGTCTCGCAAGGGATTATTGCAGGTGTTGAATATTCGGGGGTCCCGTATGGGGAATTTCCAGGAGGCGATGGCTTCTCCAATTGAGAAGCTGTAACGAGGCATATTCATTTATTTTTTATTGTATAACAAAAACTTGGAATATATCTGATTGTATTTAAGCTCAAGATAATCATTAGAACGAAAGAGAAGCAAACGTGTTAGGAGTACTGAATTAATTGGAATCTGACTCAGTAGAGTCGGAAGCTGAGGAATATTCTTCTTTATCAGCTTCGTACCCCATTATACTCCATGCAGGTTGGGCATCATCATCGTCATTATATTTAGGGGAATCGTCACCAGTATCAGAAATGGTGGAATCATCATCATTCTTGGGATCGGGGGAATCGCCATCAGTCTTGGGATCGGGGGAATCGCCATCACACTTATAATCGGGGGAATCGTCATCATTCTTAAGGTCTGGGGAATCGTTATCACTCGTAGAATCGGAGGAATCGTCATCACTCGTAGAATAGGAGGAATCGTATCACTTAGATTCAGGGGAATCATTGAGGGCATCTTTGGAATTGTCCAGGTCTTCTGCAGCCTTCTCTTCAATTTCCGGTGGAGCTCCCTCCTCGTGTTTCTCATTCCTGGCGATGCAATAAGTGTTATTCTGACGAACATCCCCTTCATCCTGGATTGATGCAACTGCAGCATCCATCTGCATCTGCATTCTCCACGTATGTCCTATCTGGGTTTTTTCCCCTACCAAGGCATCCAGCATTTTTTCCGCCTCCGCTGGGTCATCGGAATCAATGAGGAAGTGCCCTGGTAGGATTAGGAAAGTCTTTCCAGGTTGGTTATCGTTAATTCTCATCTGATCGTCGACCTCGCCAGAAGCCCACGTGGGGATATCCCTCGACCTGCTGAATGGGACTGCGTTAAATTTCACACTAGCTGGACTCACATCTCTGTGACCATCACAGCTTTGTTTTTCTTTCCTTTTTGGGGCACCGCACTGATTCTCGGAATGCAGGGAGTCATTGTCGGAGTTACTCTCGTCTCTCTTTGATGGGGTGCACACCGGTTGGTTCCCCGTGTAGACGTCTGGCGTTTCCAACCGCAGTTTCTTCGTAACCGGCCTAGCGTCTTGAGCCTGCGCCATGATCGGAATGGTCGATTCGGTTTGACCCCAGTATTTTTCTAATAATTGTCGTAGCGTATTCAGCAGTGATTTGTGTGAACTCGTGCTCCCATGCTGAAAACGCTACGACAATTATTAGAAAAATACTAGGGTCAAACCGAATCGACCATTCCGATCATGGCGCAGGCTCAGAATGCTAGGCCGGTTGCGAAGAAACTGCGGTTGGAAACGCCAGACGTCTACATGGGGAACCAACCGGTGTGCACCCCATCAAAGAGAGACGAGAGTAACTCCGACAATGACTCCCTGCATTCCGAGAATCAGTGCGGTGCCCCAAAAAGGAAAGAAAAACAAAGCTGTGATGGTCACAGAGATGTGAGTCCAGCTAGTGTGAAATTTAAGGCAGTCCCATTCAGCAGGTCGAGGGATATCCCCACGTGGGCTTCTGGCGAGGTCGACGATCAGATGAGAATTAACGATAACCAACCTGGAAAGACTTTCCTAATCCTACCAGGGTACTTCCTCATTGATTCCAATGACCCAGCGGAGGCGGAAAATACCCAGATAGGACATACGTTGAGAATGCAGATGCAGATGGATGCTGCAGTTGCATCAATCCAGGATGAAGGGGATGTTCGTCAGAATAACACTTATTACATCGCCAGGAATGAGAGACACGAGGAGGGAGCTCCACCGGAAATTGAAGAGAAGGCTGCAGAAGACCTGGACAATTCCAAAGATGCCCTTAAAGATTCCCCTGAATCTAAGAGTGATGAAGGGGATGTTCTTCAAAATAACACTTCTCACATCGCCAGGAATGAGAAACACGAGGAGGGAGCTCCACCGGAAATTGAAGAGAAGGCTGCAGAAGACCTGGACAATTCCAAAGATGCCCTCAATGATTCCCCTGAATCTAAGAGTGATGACGATTCCTCCGATTCTACGAGTGATGACGATTCCTCCGATTCTACGAGTGATAATGATTCCCCAGACCTTAAGAATGATGACGATTCCCCCGATTATAAGTGTGATGGCGATTCCCCTGATCCCAAGACTGATGGCGATTCCCCCGATCCCAAGAATGATGATGATTCCACCATTTCTGATACTGGTGACGATCCCCCTAAATATAATGACGATGATGATGCCCAGCCTGCATGGAGTATAATGGGGTACGAAACTGATAAAGAAGAATATTCCTCAGCTTCCGACTCTACTGAGTCAGATTCCAATTAATTCAGTACTCCTAACACGTTTGCTTCTCTTTCGTTCTAATGATTATCTTGAGCTTAAATACAATCAGATATATTCCAAGTTTTTGTTATATAATAAAAAATAAATGAATATGCCTCGTCACAGGGTATCACTATTCAAAACAATAAAAAATAAGAGTAATAAATTTCAAAAATAAAGAATCCATTCGGAAGCATATTGCTAATTTGTTAGCAACGTAAACCATACCCATATCCAGAAAATACGATTATCCACTTGTTTTACTATGATCTTCTACATGAACGCTATGCAATATGAGCGATGGTTCACAAGATGTTGCTGGTGCCGAGGAAATAAATACCGTGACTTTGAAAATTTTTACTGTATATGGGTCACTCCACCAAATATCATACGTAAATCCGGCCTCAAAATTTTCAGTTGGGGTTTTTCCTGCTCTGTATTTTATGTCACGCTATGCAATAAAACAAGTTTCCCGAGTGGAAATTGCTTCAGGCCCACCGGAAGCACGATCAGAACCCGATCTAGTTTTTGTAAGGATCGACTGACCCGGTGATTCCTGATGAGAACCTGACCAAGTTCTAATCCAGTAGATCGGATCCAAAAAACTGCAGGCGGGCTCAGATCAAGTTTTGATCAGGTAGGCATGATCTCACCCTGAGGTCAGACTGCCTGACCCCAATTGGATCAAATTCGGATTTGATGCATTTGATCGTTATTTGAACGGGGTCAATTAAAGAGAAAATGATCAAATTCAGATCTGGTCCACCTGACGTTGATTTTATTAAGTTTTTTCGGATAATTTAATCAACTATTATTATACTATTCAAATTAAATTTTATCAATCATTATCAATCATTATTTTCAATCTTTAAAAAGGGTCATTATACTATAATTAAATTAAACTAAAATAATTAAATCAAATTAATTTTAATTTAATTAACGGATAACTCTTCTCAAATGTATAAGGAGAAGGGGTGATTGTGCCGTAAATACATACCAGAGCAACCCGGCTGTGTGGCGCACTTGGTAGCAGCATGAGATTCACAACCTCAAGCTCCCAGGTTCGAGCCCCGGCCGGGCCAAAATTCCACACCAATTTTTCATCACAATTTTCCACATAATATTGAACTGAAAATTCAACACAATTTTCAAACCGAATATTCCACGGAATTTTCAACTGAAAAATCCACTCCACATTCAACATTCCCTGGCTGAAGGCCCTCGGGCGATGGCCGCATTGGCAAGTTAACCCTTGCAACGAAAAACCGGTGAAATTTAAATTTTACATACCAGAGGAGTATCAAATTTACACGCAAATGATCTTGAGAAAAAAATTTACCAAATGTTTATTTATTTATTAGTGGCATTATTATTATCATTATTATTATTCATTAATGAAATAAAGAAAAATTTAATTAAACATATTTTATCTCGGAGAATACCCACGCAAATCCGCGAGATCATGAATAATCATAAATTCAACGAATACACCAAAACAAATCATATAAATCGATCCCCAGCGTCGGTAAAAAAATTATCTTTTTTCAGCGGTAATAACGGTAGGGATTCATTAAGAGAGACGCCCTACGGTGAAAGAATTGAATCATCTTTTGTTTTGAATTAGTTATCATTGATAATTATTATTGATAATGACAGACAGGTCATCCGGTTTTCATACATTTGACTTGATCAAGTTCGGATTCATATCTAAATATTCAGCCAAGATCCTATCGTAAAAAAGAGAAAGGAAATCGATCTCGAAATATCTCGAAAATCTCGAATAAGCGTAAGCGTAAGACTGAAACCGAAACGCTATTACATGAGGAGATGAGAAGGCGCGTGCGCAGCACGCGCGGCCTGTCTCGTAAATAAAATTCTAAAGTTGTTTCGGCATGGTCCTCGATTACTTTGTTCGCATTGTAATTTTTAATTTTACATTCTCTCCATGCAGAGGTAATTCAATAATCCGTGCTATGTCTATGTCAGGTCGATCGTGGGCACATCGTCATACCCAAAACTGTATCAGAGGCACGAATGATGGAGAATAAGGGCATAATGAACTTCACGTTATCTAATGATGATATCGAACTGATTAATTCATTTAATTGTAATGGAAGAATTTGCTCCATGACTGGGTGAGTATTGAATTATATCATTTTCATTCATTATTGTGATGATTCATTATCGATATTTCCATTGATTTCAATAACGAATTCGTGAAGCGTAATGAGTCGATTTCGTGTATGAGTCAAATATGTTTTATCAATTCGCTTTGAGTAATTTAATGAGTGATTTTCAATTGTAAAAGGACATTTTTGAATGAAAATTCTGAAATAATTTTTTTATGAACTAAAAAATATGAACTTTAAATAGATACGTTTCACAATTTAATCGCTAAATCGATAATTCTGATGAAGATCATTTGTCAGACACTTGATAAGTCCAGATTTTTGAGAATGCATTAGTCATGGAGAGGGAGGAAGTGCACAGAATAATTTTTTATGTGTTGAATATAAAATTATATCAATGAGTGATCTTAGGGGAAAACGTAAGGAAACATTTTTCATTTGAAATATCGTCGCTGCGAAGAAAGTCTTTTGGGAGTATTTCTTTTTTAAATGTCAGGTGGTACTATCGAAAATGACGAGTGAACATTTAATTTATCACGTTTCACCACTTCATCAAAAGAGTCCATACTTATTAACTACGGACTTTAAGCGTGTCCATAGTTATTAAGATGTTTCGCGTGAAATGTCAAAATAATGCAAAAAAGTTGAAAATTTCAAGGATGAAATGGCTGAACATACTGTATCATTGAGAATTTTTTTCAGATCTCAGTCTCAAGGAAGAAAAATGAAATTTGAATGTTTTTGTAACATTCAAATTTGTTTTTGTTTTTTCAATTAGGGAAATTTGCATGGAGCCCACAAAAATAATGAACTATTGAGGAAAAACTAGTGGCTGATAAATCAAATATTTCTTGAGAACACGTATAAGTTTGAGATTTTTTTCAGATTTCATAAGAAAGTTATATGAACAAATGACTCGGAAAATTATAAGTTTCGGGGCAATTACGCCCTCACGCGTAGGTGCGTGATTCGAATGTCAGTGAGCATCATGGAAAAGGTATGGGTTGGACCATGGAACTGAAAGAGAGAAAATACTCGATAGGTTTACTAACTCGAGACGCATTTTAATATTATTTCAATAATTAGAATAACATCCAATAGAAATTATTTGACACCCGTAGGTGATGAGAAAAAAATCAATCAATCTGATAAATAAAATCAATATGCAAAAAATGTTCAAATGCATACTTGAATAGTTACTTGAAAATTGGAAAATTTCGTGCTCAGCGATTGAATCAGAGTTCAAGAACAATAAGAACAAATTGCGTTCCGTTCGCTCCCCGGTGACCTACACACTAAACATCTTAACTTTTGGAGACCAAAAAATTGTACGATTGTAAAATTCAAAACATGCAAGAGGTACAATTATCTCTTAAAGATAAGTATCCAGACACATGGCAAAATTAGATTTTCATGCACTGATATTCACTGTGATGGCTCATTTGAATCAATTATTTCAATAGCAAAGTGGTAAAACGCGCCAAGTTAATGTTTTGAATTCCTCAATTATAGAATAAAATAACGATACTAAGCGAATTCAGGAGAAAACGTGAAACGATCATTTTCGTCAGTAAGTCTGGCAGCTAAAAAAGATCTCTGCTCTGTTCTCTCCAAATTGTTTTTCAAAGATAAATGTAAAGTCACCAAGAATTAAAAAATTAACTCATTTTTTATTTACGTTACCACTAAATTAGACGATGAAATATCAGTCGCTGGTCCATAAAAGGGCAGCCTTAAATCAATCAATATTTGATTTAATTCTTGCAGTGCCAGTGAACTCGAACATTATCCATTCAATACTGAATTTTAATGATGGCCGGATCAACCTAATTATTATATATCTCATGAAGAAATGCTGGAGCAGGGAAATCTGAATTCTGATTGTGGACTAATGCCTTACCCTCACAATCACAGCATTCCCAGTATTCTTCACTGCTGTCATCATCACTGAATTTGGAATCAACCTCACTTGAAGAATTACTGTGATAAACACTTGCATCACTACCGCAGTGACACATGTCATCACTACTACTTGACGAACGGACTCTCAACTTCGGATGATGTTTGGATTTAGCAACTTCCTGAAAATTGTAAAATAAACAGAAATGATTGATAAATAAATTCATGTACATGGAGAGAAAAAGTTTTCAATTTCTAGCACTAAAATACAGATTTTGAAAAGGGCATGGTTCTAATAGGGGAGACTGAGGCAAAATGAGACCCCTCTGTTTTTTTGTTTTTCAATGAGACAAATGAGTCCAGTGTTTTCTTCGGTGTAATGTCATCTAACACATCACATAACTTGGAAATTATATATTTCAGGGCGAGTGCCATGGGGTTTTTTACTCGCGTGGGGTTGGCGTCCGAGACGAAGGCGAGGACTGGCCAACCATGCGAGTAAAAAAACCCCAGGGCCCTAGTTGTGAACGATATTTTTCCGTAGTGATTTTCACTTTTACGCGTTTGGAGAAGGGCCAATGCCAATCCCCGGACGAGGAAAAGTGAAGGTCAGTACGGAAAATAAGTTTTCGAATCAGAAAAAGGAACTTATATCTACCCAGGTAAGAATTGACGATAGAAACAGGGCTCATCAAGCCCTGGACCAAGGCTCGGAAATGCTTAATCAGGGCTGGGGCTCAGCCTTGGATCAATCCTCCTTCAGCCCTTAAATGATAATCTCGTTTCAGGCTTAGTCTGCAAGGCTTGAACGAGGCTCGGTGCCAAGGCTTGATTCAAGGCTTGAATGACCACATTTTAAAGGCTCAATCGAGCTTCGGCTAAATAAACTGGAGTATTGTTTATAGATATTTGTATAAACAATTTCTTATTGCTTCATAAACCTTTTTATAAATTTAGAGTAACCTAAATCAAACATTTAAAAATTTGCTCCTCTGCTGGGGTTCGATCCGGGGTCCTTCTGATCCGTAGACAAGCGCGCTATCCACTGGGCTACCTGCGACTTCTTAGGATGATACATTTTTTTGCGGGTATAAAAATTCAACTTGTGTTAGTGTTATTTTGTTATTTTGTTGATATCCTAATTAAAGTTCCTGAACTTGAATAAATGATAGGTCCGATGGATTTATGAGTTCAGAATCGATTGATTAATCAATTATAGATAAGGATAATAATAATTATGTAGCCTCGTGCACAAAGGGCTGCTCTAGGCCTGGTCTGGGGGTAGCTTATATAACTTGGCGGAAAATTATAGCTATGTTTGTAGATGATGATAATGTTTTCACCACCATTAGCTAATGCGTATTGATATAAAAATTGAGGAAATTTATCGAAAGTAACTTTAATTTTCGAGGCCTTGCTGAGTCCTGAATAAGCCTTGACATACTGAGCCTGAATACTGAAAACCTGGACTAGGCCTGAATTGAGCCTCGCACATGGCCCCTTTAATCATCCTCATTTGAAGCTCAAGTGAACGATGAAACCAAGCCTATCCCAGGTCTGAATAACTGAGCCTGGCCAACCCTGGGCTCATACAGGCTTGTCCTCATCGTCAGCCGATGTAATTCTTACCTGGGTAAGACCATCTCTAATCGTCGTCATGAGCAATACTCTAGTTTTTACGGGAATGAGAAAATTTCTTGTCTTATGCAGATATTTCGTTTGATAGTTATGAATTTTTGTAAGTTCATCATAACTCGATTTTTTTAGACGCTTGAAAATTTTTTGGCTGTAAATTTCCGATGCACTTTCAGGGAATTGTTATCACATTTTAGTTCCACTAAAATTTCAAGGAATTTCGTCACTGAAAATTCAGAATCTCATGGGAACATCAATGAGAACTGCAAATGTAAGTTTCATTATTCCCTGAAACGTAACAGAAATCAGGAAAATTTCAGTAAATACTAGGTGTGTGACTTAATTTTTACAGATTTTTCAGTGAATTTATTTAATATAAAAAAATAGAGAAGAACGAATTTAATCTTGGAAATATTGTCCATCGTTTTCTATGACTTTGCGCCATCTCTCAGGTAACATTCGAATGCCGTCGCGAAAGAAATTTGTAGGCTTCGAGGCGATAAAGTCGAGGCGCTTCGCGCAGCTTGCTCAAAACTCGACTTCTGCACGACTTGATATAAAATATTATAGAGCACTCGGTAATAAATTTCTTTTTCAACGAATGTGTATATAGACCTCGCCTTCGGCTCGGCCTGTAAACTACACATTCGTTGAAAACGAAATTTGTGCCCTTGTACTCTAATGTACTATTATCCACTAGGGCGTGCTGCATGGACCGGAACAAGTGGTAGTCGGATGGGGCCAAGTCAGGGAGTCTATTCTCGAGTCGGTGAGTGGCTGAGCGTATACGTTCGATTCGTACGATCTCATGGAGATCCGTGTGTAATCATACGAGTCGAACGTATACGCTCAGCCACTCACCAACTCGAGAATAGACTCCCTAGTGAATATGCCGCGTGCGGGAGAACTTCCCATCCCAAGTTTAAGAGGGTCTTCTGAGTCGCGCGAGCAACGTAAATGGCCTTTTCCGATCAAGTCCTTCGCTCAGTTTGTTCAGTTGTCGGCTGTAGCGTTCCGCAGTCACCGTCTGACCTGTTTCCAGGAGTTTGTAATAAAGCACACCCTTCATGTCCCACCAGACACACAGGAGAATCTTCTTTAAGTGGATGTTCTGTTTCGGCGTCGATGTACTGGATTGTCCGGGATCTACCCACGACTTTTTACGTTTGGGATTCTCGTAAAAAATATACTTTTCATCACCCGTCACAATTCTTCTTTTGTTGTTGCCGGGCAAACAGTGAAAGGCACGTGTTCATACGTTGACCTAGGTTGTGTTCGGTCAACACATATGGGACCTACATTTCAAGTTTTTAGATTTTTGCCATTTGACGTAAACGCTTAGAAATAGCTGTTCGGTTGACTCCTGAGTTGCAACCTCTTGTTGCGTTTGCGAGTCTTGTTGCGAGTCTTCATCCAGTAGAGCTTGCAGTTCCGCATCTGTAAACTTTCGAGGCTGTCCAGGACGCGGCTGGTCACTCAGATCGAAACCACCACTTCTAAAACATTTGTACCAATAATTACACGTTTCATAAGCTACAACGTCGGCACCAAAAACACTACGCATTGATTCCCGTGCTTCAGAAGAATTTTTTCCTCGTTGGAATTCGTATAAAATGCAGTGCCGAATGTGCTGTTTATCAGTTGTCATCGTAAACTCTGCTATTCTGAAAGGTTATGTAACTTACATAGACTTCTCGTTCCGTGTTCTGAAACCTTTTGTCCGATCCTTTCAAACCAGAAAAGACCGCGAATATATTTCTATTTTAAATATAATTTTAAGCTCGAAGAAAAAATCTGTAAAAATTAAGTCACACACCTAATATAATCTTGAATTTTCAATTAATTGGAAATTCAGCGTAATTTAACATTAAATGTATCATTTTTTCGTATAACATTCTAATAAGTTGAGAAACTCTTGTCTTAATGCTGCTTAAAATTTTGGAATTTTCTGTGAAATGTGAAATTTGATAATTTTTTTCCATCTAAATCACTTTCAATATTTATCTTCTGAAAATTACTAGTCAGTAGTCTATGAAATTTTAAGAACAAGGGCTGATTGATCGTAAATCGAATGGAATAAATAAGTGATTTCCGTTTCACCTCACCAGGATCAAACTTCGTCATGGTCATACTTCTGGAGAATCAAACGTCGCAAGCATCACTCGCTTTGCTCGGTTAAATCGCGGTTTTCAGTCCTCGAGGCATAAAATATCGTGTGCCACACGGCAGTAAAAGTATTTTCTGACGAATGTGATTATAACCCTCGCCTTCGGCTCGGGTTATAACGTCACATTCGTCAGAAAATACTTTTACTCCCTAGGGGCACAATATACTAATGTGTACCTAGGAAGGAAAACACGGCATCAAAACCCGCATGTTTCCACATGCGGGTTAGAATGTCCTGTTTTCCTCTCTTGGCGCACAATCTACTATTTTCACACCCCTGCACAGAAAGTTCATACTTTCCTCCCTGATGAGCGGGAGGGAAGTGAGCACTTCCCGCCCTAGGGTGGAAAGTTGATCCCAAAGGCTTTCCGTCAAGACTTTTCATCAAGACTTTCCGCTCAAGGGAGTAACTTTTCACCCTAGGGCAGAAAGTAATACGAACTTTCCTTTGCAGGCGTGTTAAAAAATCGCATTTGCACCTCGGGCGGAAAGTCTTGACTTTCCGCCCTTAATGCACAATATACGGGTTGATACATGATATCGACGCCGTACGTGAGGGGTTAAGACATAACATAATTATAATTGTCAGAGAACATAAGAAAAGTTTTCCATCTCTGAGCTATTCTGCGGTCATGATGTCGTAATTTTGAATTGCAAGGATGGAAAGAAAAACTCTCCTTGCATCATCGAAACACCAACGGTTCGAATGCTAAATGCACTCCTTATCGGGGAGAAATATATTTTAAAGGTGTTAGTATGAGTTAAATCGATTACACAAATTTGTCACGGGTGTTACATAACTTTAGAATTTTCGCTCTAAAAGAGAATGATCGCGAAATGGATCAGAGGAGGAGGAATTTCAGAGATATTTTATAAGATAATTGAAGCGTGAGTAGATTAATTTTAGAACAGGAAAAATCATCAGAAACCAGAGTGTTCCTGATTCAATAACCTAGGTGTTCTGAATTCATAATACACGAGTTCCCCACACGGAGAGAAAAGTACGAGATAAATTACCGTGCTCGCACAGTAAAGTGGATTCGAATGGTCTTTCCAGTCAAAATGTACCGCAAAGAGTAGGAAAAAATACTGTTGCACGAGTCATTTTTTCAGATAAATGCGGGGGAAAATTCTTGTGCTGCACGGTAAAATCGAAGAGACAATGAATTTTTACGAGAAATACGAGAAAAATTATGATACTGGTTAGCAAATTTTTCCGGCACTCCGTCAAAATCCTAGGACCCGATCGCGCATTCGTAAGATTTCGGCCCTCTTCGTCCTCCCGCCGCAACAACGAACACCAACTCAACGTGACCAGATGATTTATTCCACCGCCTCTTCTAGCCTCCACTCTCACATACCTCCCCATTGAAACCCCAGGTTGACGTTTTTGATAATATCAATTCAATGAAATATTAATTAGTGGTGTGATAAAACGGTTAAGAAATAAAACAAGTGCCCTTTATTTTCTCTCCATGAGGTGTATAACGCTGTAGAGATACATTTGCCTATCAAACGTTTCACGTACGTTTGTCGCGCATTTCTCTTTGAATATGGGAGAGAGGATATGGAGGAGAGGTTTAAAAAAATTAATATCATGATATACTGAATGACAATCTTTACTCATTTTTAACTATTGAATAGAATTTGTCATGTAATAGAAAACGGTCAGGGATCAAGCTTTTATTGTGCCGTGGCGGAATTTTTACTATGCAGCACCGGAATTTTTCTGGCGCTGGACAATTGCAACCCACGTTACCAGACGGCACGGTAATTTTTGCCTGCATTTCTTCAGAAAAATTCTGAAATTTTTTTCTCCGTGCAGAATAACTGAAAATCCGTTTCAAGGTATTTATGGCGTGATCAGGGGGGTCGAAAAAAAGTCAAGGAATGGATGATTTTTTTTATCCACATTCAATTTTTTTGACAACACCTATGCAAAATCTCGATAACCGAGGAGAATAGGTGAAACACCGGAATTTTTCAAAAAAATGCATTTTAACACGGGTTCACGTATGAAAAAATCCTATAGGATTTCCTATAGAATTCACTATAGGGTTTCCTATAGAAAGTAATACACAACATTGATGCTCGAAACCAATCGGTCACAAGGATCGGGTCTTAATCTGATAGGAAATTCTACAGAGAATCCTATAGGAAATCCTATAGAAAATTCTGTGGGAAATCTGATAGGAAATCCTATCAGAAAAATCCTCTAGGAAATGTTCAAATTCTCCATAGGATTTCCTATAGGAAATCCTATAGAAAATAGAATATTTCGTCATTAGGCCGAAAAAAACTTTTCTGGCGAATATGAGGTTTGCAGCACGAACCGAAGGCGAGGGCTGCAATCATATTCGTCAGAAAAGTTTTTTTTGACCGTATGACGAACAATATTTTTTGTCATGACGGCCGTAGGCAGAGATTCACGGACGTTCCGCGTCCGTGAAACGCTGTCTTACGGCCGGAATGACAAAAAAAATATTTCTAACAAAAATGGTCGCAATAGATTGAAAATTTGTTATTGAAATATCGTTTTTTTTCGACAATTGGTTTTTTGCGAGAGAACAATAAATGCCCTTCCGTCTCACCTCCTATATGCCCACCCCGCCATAAATACTTTAATTCAAATGCAATTATACTAGGGTAAAAAGGTCAATTTCTGAACAGGGTTTCTGGACGATTTCAACTCGCATTGAATATTCCATAACTGAAATGAAAATTCTACTGATTATTTCACCTTTCTATTGATCAACATTTAATAAATAAAAAAATATGGCCCAGTCGTCCAGAAATTAGGGGTTTCGGCTGCATTCAACTATTTCTTAATTTAATTATCGTTTGTTTCATTATTTTCACTTCAAATAATTTTTTCTGCTAATTAAAACATTCTGGAAGGTATGGAAGCCATCATATCCCCACTCAGGTGATTCTTCCATTTTAGATCCTACCACGAAACTCGAATTTCCCTTAATCGTCCAGCAATTGGCCTGTTCACCCTAGATTGGAGTAAAAATTAGTGAAAACGACAACTTTTATGTCGGATTTTCAAGGAAAATTTCCTCCTAGTAACTGAAAATTTTACTTATTTCTGTTTTTCAGCTCGTTAGATTCTTATAGAATAGAGCTTTGAAATTGAGAAATTTTAACTGGAATTTTTTGTTCCCCAAGCATATTTATACGTTGATATAAGTATAAAGAATTCCAACTTTTTTGTTCTCTCGTCTTGATTTCTCGGAACACTTTTTCGGACATTTCTTGGATTCTTTTTTGGCTGGCAGTAATTGATTCAGTTGGGCTTGTATACGAGTCTCTCGATCCTCAAGTGAACTTATACAATTTTTCAAACGTATCTCCTGCTGCACAAGTTGACGAATTCTACCGAGACACGCGACATCCTCAGGATCAATTTCATGTAAATCAGGAAATGCCTTCGCTCGCCGTTCTTTTTCCAGCGTTTTAGCCTCAGAAGACTTGATCTTTTCATCCAATTCATTGTTCACCAGAAGTAACGACTCCAATTCCATCCCAGTCTCTTCTATTTTTATGTCAGTTTCTATTATTTTATCCTAGTGAACGAACAAATAAAGATAGCCAAGTTACGTATCTATTGCACTGATTTATTTTTCACAGGGGAAGGTCAGGTAAAACAGATCTTTTGAAATCGTCAATTTTTATCAAATAAATAATATCAATGAATTATGTCCCATTTTGCATTCTGGAAACATCGTTCACGTATCAATTACGAATCAAGTATATTTTGCACTCAATTGGAGGATACGTATTTCAATTCGAAGATGATTCTTTTGTATCAGGCCGGGTTACAATAAGCCCTCTCAAGTGTAATATAAGAGTCAGGGACTAACTGTCAAAATATAAGGGTCAAAAAGTGGAGGTTAAAAAATGAGGGCCAGAATATTAGAGTCAAAACATGGGGGTCAGAATGTAAAAGTAAAACAAGCAGGAGGCAGCGAGCATGTGGCAGTGAACATCTCACTCATTAATTTTTTTAAATATTTTCTTTGCCATCAATAAATTGATGGTAGGCTTCCGAATGGTTTTTAGCGTAATAAAATTTGATTTTGCTAAGAATTTGAAGAAAACCTATGCCACCATAAAATCCGTGCGTAAAACAAGCACTTTATGGGCACTAAACGGTTTCGAAAAGTGAACTTTTCAGGCAAGTATCACAAAAAATTTTTTTTAAATTGAAATCGTTTGAGTAGTTTTCGAGATATTTTCAAAATAAGGAGAAACCTTATGATACTTACCATTTTCCACAAACGAAAACATTAATCCCATTAATCCCGTGTTTGAACAAATATAATACGCTCTATCCCTGTGACGAGCACCCATATGCTGTAGAGTGTCTACAGGAAAATATTAAACTTTTTGATGGAATCGTTTATTACAAAAAGTTGAATATCTCCGAAACCACTCGATGGATCGCGCCCACCCAAAAGCCGAACCTTCCATATTATGAGAGCTACGATCGTACCAAATTTCAGCTTGCTATCTTCGTTTTTGCTCACGGTATCGTGCATAGAAGAATAAAAAGAAAAACAAGCAGCTGACCGCTCTTATATTGCAGAAGGCATGTGACTGTTACTTTATGTGTTATTTGTATTTTAATTTTTTATTTCTACCAATTCCATTGGTAGTAAGCTTCCGAATGGATCAATAGCAATTCTCTTTTTCAATTTACAGGAGAAACTATTTTCTCACGTCCCATTCCTATCTCAATTTTTCTTCAAGTTATAGTGCGAACAAGGAATTTAGGAAACACCAAAAATGTAAAATCGCTTATACGAAGTTGATTAATTGAGATGAATCTCCAAAACTTTGTATAAACGGGTACATATATTTTGATTGACCTAGATAGATGACATCGAGACGAGTATTTTGAAAAACAAGTGGATATCTCGATTTTGTCACACGTTAACGCGTGTACAAGGATGTTGATGAAAAAACAGAACAAGTTGATATCTCGATTTTTGCGAGGGGTAGAGTGCGTACAAGTTTTTTATGAAAAACGGAAAAATCTAAATATCTCGAAAACTCTGTATAAACGGTTATACGTATTTTGATTGATTCGGATAAAAGACATTGAAACGAACATTTTGAAAAAAAAAATTGAAATCGATTGAATATTTTTTTATATATTACATAAAACACATTTAAACACAAAATTGAATATCTCAGAAACTAATCAACCGATTTAGCTCATATTCAATACCGACGTTACGATAATAAGAGATAACTTCATACCAATTTTCAAGTTGATATCTCGATTTTTGCGAGGGGTAGAGTGCGTACAAGTTTTTTATGAAAAACGGAAAAATCTAAATATCTCGAAAACTCTGTATAAACGGTTATACGTATTTTGATTGATTCGAATAAAAGACACTGAAACGAACATTTTGAAAAAAAAAATTGAAATCGATTGAATATTTTTTTATATATTACATAAAACACATTTAAACACAAAATTGAATATCTCAGAAACTAATCAACCGATTTAGCTCATATTCAATACCGACGTTACGATAATAAGAGATAACTTCATACCAATTTTCAAGTTGATATCTCGATTTTTGCGAGGGGTAGAGTGCGTACAAGCTTTTTTTTTTATGAAAAACGGAAAAATCGAAATATCTTGAAAACTTTGCATGAACGGGTACACATATTTTGATTGACTCGGATAGAGGACATGAAGACGAACATTTTGAAAAAAAAATATCGAAATTGGTCCAATAGTTTTTGAGATTTTCGCGAAAAACGATAAAAATACAAATTGGTCTCTCTAAAAAACAAATGGACTGATCGGGCTGAAATTTGGCACAGAGGTACTCCAATTCAATACCAAATATCTGACAAACTTTCAAATTTTTTGGAACTGTTTTAGCCCTCTATTCGTTTAATTTACGAAAAAATGACCACGAGATGACCGTGAGCACAGACACGCACGGTGTCCAAACTTCGTATTTTTACGTTTCAGACCATTCTACATCGTTTCCAAGCAAAATTAAAAAATGTGAAAATCCAATGATTTCAAAGCTTCCATTCGGAAGCAAAAAACAGAAAAACGGCGATATCTCGGTAATTTTGTACGGACGGGTATATATATATTTTGATTGATCTAGATAGTGGCCATCCAGACGAGTATTTTGAAAAAAAAACTCAAATCCGTCAAGGAGTTTGCGAGATATTTGACAAAACATATTTGCACAAAAGGTCGAATGTCTCAGGAACCTCTGGGCCGATTGCGCCCAGCTGAAATACCAACCTTTATTATTATAAGAGCTAGCACCATACCAAATTTCAACTCGCTAACCCAATTCCTCTCAAGTTATCGTGCGAACAAGATTTTCAGCGAAAAAACAGAAAAACGGCAATATCTCTGAAACTTTCTATGATCGGCATATAAGTTTTGATTGGCCTGAATAGAGGTCATCGAGCCGAATATTTTGAAAATAAAAATGAAAACGGTGCAGTAGTTTCCGAGATATTGATGAAAAACAAAATTTAAACAACTTGATATATCTCAGGAACTACTGCGCCGATTGGGCTGAATCAGCGCGCCAAAATAGAGTTCATTCATAGCTATCAGAAGCCAAAATTTCAGATTTCTATCCACCGATTTCACCGTATTTATGTTGAATTTTCGAAAAATTGTTCACCCAAAATCCAAGTTGTCACACACATACATACAGACATGACGTAAAAACACCATTCCTCCACGTTTCATGGCATTCTACACCATTTCCGATCAAAATTAGCGAATCGAAAAATCCGTCAAATACAAGGCTTCCATTCGGAAGCAAAAAGTGGATGTCAGGCAATGAGGGTCCAAATGTAAATCATATACTATGCCTGATCGCCGTTTTTAGTCCTTATATGACCCTCATTGCCTGACATCCACTTTTTACTTTTATATTCTGACCTCTTTCTTTAACCTTAGCATTCTGACCCTCAATTTTCGACTCTAATATTCCGACCATCATTGTTTAACCTCCATTTTTTTACCCTTATATTCTCACACTTAGGGTCTGCCCCTTATATTAGACTTGAGAGCGCTTGATACAATCCGGGCTAGTACGAAATAATCATCTTCGAATTGAAACACCCATCCCCTATTCGAGTATAAAAATACTTGAATCAAGTATATTTTATACTCGAATCAAGAATAACATACTTGAGACAAGTATATTTTTTTCCGTATTAGAACGACAAAAAATGAATTAATTTTAATGAGAAAAAATTCCTCGTTTCAAGAAAAAAACAAGTCGAGAATAAGCCCCCAGAGAACGATAACGAGAATGACCATGAAATGATGATGAAAATGACGATGTGTGACTGTTTAGAAAAAAAATTTTTTGGATGAATTGTTCTATACCATGTGGATGTGTTGAATCGGTCGATCCTGTAATATAAGAGCTACAATCTCACCAAATTTCAAAATCCTATCTAAATTTCTTCGGGATTTATCGTGCACAGAACAGTTTCCTCATAAAAATGAAGAATGCTGATTATTACTAGACTGTCCCTAGTTACATAGTAATATTCTGATTTGATTTGGTAGATGGTATCAAGGAATATTTTGAAGTCAAAAAAATTCAATTCAGTTGTGTAGTTGTCGAGATATTGAGGAAAAAAGATTTGTGAGAAATTGCTGTATCTCGAAAACTACCTTGACCGATTGAGCTGAAATTGCGTCCAAAAGTGCTCCAAAGTAATACCAATTATGTGACGAAATTTCCGATTTTTAGTTTAAACTTTCGCCCATTTTCTGTCAAAATTTATCAAAATTTTCTGAAAAATTCGCACACACGTCCGGACATACATACACATATTGCCATTTCATGACATTCTACGTCATTTCCAGGCAAAATTAGAAAATCATCAAAGTCAATTATTACAAAGCTTCCATTCGGAAACACAAATAAAAAGTCTTGAAACGGTAGTTTCTGTCATACATTTTTACAGAAACATTATTATAAAGTATTTGAAATTAGGCGTGTAAAAACAATAGTTTCTCATCAGAATTTTTATAGAATCTAGAAAACTGCTTTTGATTTTGAAAAATAGTATGAAATTAATCAAAAATTTTTGATAAATTCAAGTTCATTTTTAACGGAGAAATTTCTTAAAACACAAGGTATTTTATTATATCTTCTCTTTCCTTCAAAGTTGGAATTTTCTGAAAACTACAACAAAACGGAGTTGATTTTTTTTTTTTTTACGGAGTTGATTTTAGAAAAACATTTCAAAATTCAGTCCAAAAACTAATAAAAACAATAATTAAGCATTGGTTCTAGAAAACGTTCATCATAAAATTAATTATGCATATGAAAAAGAGTTCTTCAATCTATATATTTTTGAAATAAACTTTTAGAGATTTTTCTTTTCTTTATGCACTCTCCCAATCTCGCGTTATTGACGTTTGAAAAAGGTCCATTTACACGCCTTCACCCTGCTATTACATACGGAAGGCCTGTCCTACCTACATGCAACTGCTTCGTTTCTTCATCGAGACGTTTCAACTTGTCATTTGTCTCTTTGAGGAGTTTTTCAGTAGAATTCGGGTAAGGATATGGTGATAACTGATCAACAAGTTGCTGTATCTTTTCAAAAGAAATATTGTCCCTCTGTCCGCAGTTCCAAAATTTATGGGCCACCAAAATAGGCATTGCCTTCTCCAAATTCATAATCTTTTCTGTTAAATAATGACGACGACTCGCCAATTCACCATGACGCTTTTCCATCTCACTGACTGTCTCCTCCAGGTCCATCCGCAGACCATGACTCTTGCTGTCAGAGTCCATCACACAACAGTTTTGAGGTTTGGATTTATAACAAAATGCCATTTTTGAATGATTTATAGCGTAATTCTTGAAGTCTTCAAATTACAAGTAAACTTGAATTTCTTTTAGTGTTTATTCAATCCAATGCTCAATGTTATATTTATGCACAGACGACAGATAGAGTGTGAACAAATAACGATGCTGTGATTTTCTGCACGACATTTTTCACAACTTTTTCTTCAGTCGACAATTGTTTTGAGGGTTTTTAGCATTTAAGAAACGTTTACTGTTGATTTAAATTGGATGATCAAATATTCATACTGGAATTTATTGTGAATTTAGAAACGATTATGTATTCATGACAAATGACTATCTCTACGAAGTGACATATTTAAAATTGATGAGGAAATGTGGATACGTTGGAAATGCTTCATTATTCTCTCCTTTTCAATTCAAATATTTACACCTCTTAAAGCTTTTGTTGATGATAATGAATTTGTGAAAGTGTCTCGGAAACAGAACAATTAGTTAGTTTCTCTGGTATGCATTTGATATTATCCTCATGGTTGAGAGTCAGATCGAAGTTGAATAAGTGTAGGATCTATTGTAAAATGAAACTGCACGAAGAGAAAACAATCGGAAAGTCTGGCGATCGCAAGACTTTTCCCGATGATTCCGACGAAGGGTGCCCCTCGCGTGAAAAATCGTAAGAAATTCGATTTCACATCTATATCGATAAAGAATTTTCAAAAGGATCCGATTATACACACTGTTCAGAAAATGTTTCGCGTTTAATCGGAAAAATCCCAAGAATTTTCGGAACTCTCCTCAATCAATACAATCGTCTTTAGCATAAGTATAAAATTTCTAGATGAAAGTTTTTCTTCGCAGGGCAAGATATTTGCTCTTGAAAAGTTTCAAGCTATAAGTTTCTTGATTAAAGTGAAGACGCACTGGAAATTTCAGCGAAAAAAAATTGAATTGTTTTCTCCTGCAATTATTATTTTTTATTTATGAAACTTCTTCATTATTTTCAGTAGTTTCATGGATAAAAATTAATAATTGTAGGAGAAAACATAATTCTAACAGTTCATATAGATACAATGGTTCCGTTTCACCTTAAATCATGAATCTGTTAAGGATCTTTTTTCATCGTATGACCTAATTATTCGGGTGAAGTCGTGATTCATTGAAAATAGCCGTGATATATTATTTTTACTCGTCTTACGGGCAGTTACTCATCGTCCTTCGTAGACTCAAGTTGTCTCTCATCACTTGTCGAAGACTTATCGATACTTGCCGTGTCAAAGTTTCATCGGCATTCATCGGGGCTCCTCGAGAGCAATTACTTCGTCACCGGTCGGACGCTTCTAGCGTGTGAAAATTATCATTGTTAACTTATCGCGGTAAAATGCTTGTTTAATTATCGAGTTAGTCAACTCATTAGAGAAATTCATCTTTATTTCATTCAAGAGTCAAGTCATCAAAAATCACCATTTTCTTTTCATTTATTGGATAATTATCTGTGGATAATTATCTGTGCAAATTTACCGGAAATTCAACTCGTATTTTCAGACAGGCATCTAAGACATTTATCGTGACGATGTTCCTCGAAATTTCAGTGGTGATTAAATTCAATGAAAATTTCTAAAAAGTGTACTGGAAATTTCAAACTAAATTTTTTAACGATGTTCAAACAAGGTAAAAAAATGCTGCCAATTTTTTAAAAATTTTTTAAGTACATTCTTTGATATTATTCGATGCTCTGTGTGAAATTTCAGATTGCTGAGGTTGATGGTTCGAATGGAATAAATTATTTAAAAAAATGGAATTTAACCCATGTTCTTATGGGAAATGTGGAAAAATGCATAGACTAAATGTAAAAATGCAGCCAGTATCACGGAACTTCGTCCATGTGTGACATATTAATGAATACGTCTTCTGCAAACAAAAAAACATTGGTTGGATTCGTTTTTCAGCCAAAATTGACAAAAAACCACTAAAAATGCGAATTTCTGCGCGCGCAGCTGTAAGTTGCGACAACGTAGCACTTGCCGACAGGGACTTGAAACGAAATTCTGGAACGCAACTAAATAGCGGTTGCGTTTCGTTCCCAGGAACGCTAAGAGAAACGAAACCGAACTTGGAACGAAAATCGAGTAGCGTTACCGCCAGGAACGAAATTCAGGAACGAAAGTGGAGTAACGTTACCACCTAGAATGAAATTAAGGAAAGAAAGTTGTCATATAAATAAGATGTCATAAATAGTATCATCTTCAGTTTGATGGGGTTTATACGAGAAAACGTTTTTTTTTTCAATCATTAATTGCTCAAAAAGATAATTTCTTAAAAATCTGAAATTTTCACCAAAAGTTGGCAATAAAATGAACGGAATTTTGGCGCCAATTAGAGTTTGTCTTTCGCCGCAGTTCGGCAGTTATTAATTTTTTCATTGAGGCAAATATTGAAATTGTGCAATTCTTTTGAAATGAAAAATTCATTATCGATAGCAACTAATGAAAGAATTTCATAGGAACCCTGCCACATTTACTAAACATTTTATAGAATTTCTATAGACAATTCTATCCGTTTTTAGCTAAATCCATTCACAAAATTTCATAGCTCTCCTTTGATTTTTTTCTCCTCAGATTTTCATTTTTTCATACAAAATGCTTTTCAATTCTATTGGGATATTTTCTGTAAAAATGCAGCCAGTATCACGGAACTTCGTCCATGTGTGACATATTAATGAATACGTCTTCTGCAAACAAAAAAACATTGGTTGGATTCGTTTTTCAGCAAAAATTGACAAAAAACCACTAAAAATGCGAATTTCTGCGCGCGCAGCTGTAAGCTGCGACAACGTAGCACTTGCCGACAGGGACTTGAAACGAAATTCTGGAACGCAACTAAATAGCGGTTATTGCGTTTCGTTCCCAGGAACGCTAAGAGAAACGAAACCGAACTTGGAACGAAAATCGAGTAGCGTTACCGCCAGGAACGAAATTCAGGAACGAAAGTGGAGTAACGTTACCACCTAGAACGAAATTAAGGAAAGAAAGTTGAGTAACGTTACCGCCAGGAACGGAAACTAGGAACGAAAATTGAGTAACGTTACCGCCAGGAACGAAATGCTGGAACGAAAGTCGAGTAATATTACCACTTGAAACCCAAGTGCCTAACAAAAGGGAAAAAATCGCTGCTCGGGCCAGAATAGTGACATGAAAATTTTAAAATTGAGTTCATTCGTAACTTATGGTTTTATTTTGAACGGCAAAATGAATGCTGCGGATCGGGAATTTTTCCGTAAGAATCGAATTGATATGAAAAAAACGTGAATATCAAATTTCCCATGATTTTGTTACAGATAAAGAAAGTTCATTGGGGTTGATTTTGGGGTTAATTTATTTCATTACGAGAGAAATTACTGTAATGGTTAGGTGGGTGAGGTGTTGCTCCGGTGGACATCCAAGCTAAACAGCGTTGAGCTGGGTTAGTACTTGGATGGGTGCCCGCTTGGGAATACCTCGCTCGCACAAAAATTGCGGGCAGTAGGTACGGTGTTAGTGGCCTAGTGTCTCCATCTAGTCAGTGTGACAGATGGATATATTAGGGCACTGCACAATCGGCCGGCTGTGCGACTGGGGTTTTACATGGTTTCCCGTGCAGTTCTAGCTCGAATGGGGCACAGCTAAGAGTAAGACGGCCATGATACCACAGATAACAATGAGAGGAAAAATTCTTTGGAAAAATGAGAAATAAGAAGTAATGTGGAAAAAATAAGAAAATTTATGCCCAGTATTTTTTTTTACTTTTATTAACGTCGCCTTGTTTATAGCCCACAAATTTTCATGGTGAATATCTCAATGAAATCAATTAATCCCAAAACCAAACCCAATGAACTTTCTGTACGTGTAACAAAATCATGGAAAATTTCATATTCACGGTTTTTTTCATATCAATTCGATTCTTTCGGAAAAGTTTCCGATCCACAACATTCATTTGGCCCGAGCAGCGATTTTATTTCGCTTTTGTTACGCGCTTGTGTTTCAAGCGGTAACATTACTCGACTTTTGTTCCGGGATTTCGTTCCAGACAGTAACATTACAGGACTTTCGTTCTTGAATTTCATTCCTAGCGATAACGTTACTCAACTTTCGTTGCTGAACTTCGTTCCTGGCGGTAACGTTACTCAACATTCGTTCTTTAATTGCGTTCCAGGCGGTAACGTTACTCCACTTTCGTTCCTTAATTTCGTTCCTGGCGGTAACGCTACTCAATTTTCGTTCCTGAATTTGGTTCCTAGCGGTAACGTTACTCAACTTTCGTTCCTGGCAGTAACGTTACAATTTAGTTTCGTTTCTTATCTGAGGAACGAAACCGAAACAGAAAGGCTTTCCAGGTCCGTACTTGCCGGTCGAGTGGGGTAAACGTGGTAAATGCAAAGATGAATAAATGATCGCTCTGGACTTCATGATATCCAAAGATAATTTCCCCGATAATAGATATCAATAAAATTCCTGAAATTTTCGCTCTTGAACACGCTTCCCCTTGAGAGAAACCATTGTTTCTGCGGTGATCTCTGTTTGAGGTTAAACCGAATACAGAGACAACACTTGGTGCTGTCACGCATGTGGGAATCATTCATGAGTCCTCACTTCACAGAGAAATCCTGGGATTCATTTACTATTATTTTGCCTGTCGATAGTAAATAATAACGATATGGGTGATGAATTTTTTGGATAAATGTATATCGATGGAAAAAAAATTACATGTGTTCATGCGTGGGATTACGTACAGCCCTCCATAGAATGTGGCAGGCCGACCAACTCTGAAGCAAAACTACTGGCGTCGGGCCGACGTTGCCACTTTTTTTACACAAATTGATTATTTTTCATTTATTATTAAAATTGCATATAAAAATTTTTTGGTGCATGTAGGAAAATAATTAAATAGTTATAAAAAATATTATTTGACTACAGAAGAATCTAAATATGGTCGTATTATTTAATTGAAAGGAATCGAATTTTCGTGTTCAGGGATTGGTTTTCTGCAGGAACACAATAGATTCCCCTACCCACGTACGAAATGCCAGTGTTGGAGAAACGGGCCAAGCCTGGCACAAGCCTGGGCTTGCCAAGTCTGGGCACCCAGGCTTGGACCGAGGTTCGGCCATCCCTGGGGACCAGGGCTTGAGTCTCGGGAGAAGGGCGGGTAACCGAGCCTTGGTTGACAGATCTGGCCCAGCCTTGGCCGGACATTGGTATGCCGGAGCTCGATAACCAAGCCTTAGCCAGCGGTGGCCCGGAGCTTGGTCATTGGGCTCCAGCCGTTGGTGTAACTGTAAGGATTAAATCGCAAGGGTGAGATGATGAGAATGGAATCATAGGGGTGGAATCATAAGGGTAAAATCTGAAGAGTAAAATTGTAAGGGTCAAATCGCAATAATGGAAAGGGGCGAAAAAATCATAAGACTGACATTCTGAGGGTTGAATGGTAAGGGTGGAAACTTGAGGGTAAAATATTAAGGGTGTAATCGTAAAAAAATGGTGACATTGTAGGTGTTGAAGTCACATGTTACTCGCTAATTATTACGAAAAGAAGAAGAATCGTCATTCAACAGTAATCCTAATTGTTACAATTATTATTGTAATTAATAATAATTATTATTATTATTCATTATTGAATTAATTTACCGATTAAACTGTAGTTGAATCACTTAATATTTCTATCAACTGAATAATAAAACATTCAAGTCGAAAAAAACCGAGATGGAATTAATATGGAAGATTTGAAGTAGAGGTTTTACGAATTGCGCGGTAGACTAGTGGTTAGGGCGTCGGATTAGTAGTCGTGAGGTCGTGGGTTCGAGCCCACGTTAGGGGGTAATATTTTAAGTTAACAAAATCGGTTTTTCAGCGATGATTGCGTTAGGGTTTGGTAGGTAGGGCACAATGAATACTAAAAATCATCCTAAAAAATGTTAATTATTTTGTTTTTGATATTATTGATAATTGCCATGAACAGTTTGGCAGCCAGTGCGGCACCAGTCGCATACCGGTATTGACTTTTTTTCCTCGTTGAACCTATTACGAATGCTGAGGAGTAATATTAAATTACTTGTATTTCAATCACCCATATTATCATATTCATGTAATTAAGTAATGTTTAATTGAGCCTGGCCAACAACTGGCAATCAACGCTGGGCCGAGATGGGCGCCCAGACCTGGCCCGATGTTATCATTCCAGGTTTCAACCAAGTCCGGCGCGGTCCCGGTTGAGGAACGGGTCCCGAAGTTCGGCAGGCCGGCCACCGGGCTTGGGCCAAGCTCGGCCCATTCGTTTTTTCGTACGTGGGCTCCGCCTCGACGCCTACATTCCGTCATCGTTTGAACATCGTTAACAGTGCAGCGTATACAAAAACTGTTGCTGATGGATTGACAACCAATTTTTACCACACTGGCACCAGATTTTTTCCGGTACTGTGGACATTGAGTCCACTTCAATATTCGGGACGTTAATTTAGTATGTCTCGATTTATAGAGCAAAATCCTCATATATTTTTTTCTTGCATCCTTGCAAAAGTGTGCACTCATTGTTCTCTATAATTTTCCATCGGTTCCTGATTTTACCATACCAATGTAGGAAGGGGAGATTGGGAGTGGGAGGAATATATACAAACTATGCACCAAGCCTACACCAGTATGAAGATTTTTACTCTGTGAGAATCAACGTAAAGCAGTGCAATGGTAATATTCTCGATCATCCTTGCCTGTTTGTTGGTGATACTTACACACAAAATAGTAAAAAAAATTGTTGAACATTATTCATTACGGCAGAGAATCAACAAAATACCGGGTCCATCGAGCTTCCCAATTATCGGTTTTGTATGGGAGGTCAATAACATCAAACAAGAAGGTAGATAGACTAATTAATGCATAATTGAAACCAATGATTTTCGGAGCTGGAGTAACATGATAACGCAATTTGTTGTTCTTCTGTGATATGGAAATTAGATCGGATGGAATGGTTTTACAAACTAGCAGATCGATACAAAAATGGAATTTTCAGGGTATGGTTTGGTATTGATCCAATGATTCTAATCAATTCACCAGAATGTGCTGAGGTAATTATACTATCTTCATACAATAATATATATAATGACTCATGATAATGTATAATTATTTATACGCAGCTATGGAGATACATACGGAAAACATTATACGCACTTTATGCAATCTTAGGCGAATTTACGCATAGATAATACGACTTTCTGCAACGGTCAAAGTCAATCGCTTATACATAGACCACGCGTTATTTGTGCATAAACCATGCATAGTTATGCAGACTATCGGTTGAACTAGGCGTGAAATATACAATTATCGTGCATATTATATGCACATCAATGCGTATTTCCTGCATAGACCCGTATGAATCCAGCACTTTCTTTGTATACTTTGAATTGTGGTGCGGACATGTTTCTGCTAATCTCTGCTGTGATATTTTGTCATTGATTGCATTCATACTATTCGCGCCAAATATGATTGCTATCAGTGCCACCACATAAGCTGAAATTAGCCAAAGTTAAGATTTTTCGTGAGTAGCCCACGAGAAACAGGGTGATGCCACAAGACATTTCATGAGACATCACGAAACAATACTTTGGAGGAAGTATCTTAGTCTTTTAGTGAACACGGAAATTTTTCATGATAACATAGGGCCAGGCCTGGGCGCCGATCTCGGCCCAGCGTTGGTTGCCAGTCGTTGGCCAGGCTCAATTAAACATTACTTAATTACATGAATATGATATCAGTGATTAAAAAACAAGTAATTTAATGTGACTCCTGAGCATTCGTCACAGGTTCAAGGAGGAAAAAAAATCAATATCGGCATGCGATTGGCGCCGCGCTGGCTGCCAAACTATTCATGACAATTATCAATAATAACAAAAACAAAACAGTCAACTTTGATTAGGATGATTTTTAGCATTAATTGTGCCCTACCTACGAAATCCTAAAGCAAAGAAAAACCGATTTTGTTAACTTAAAATATTACCCTAACGTACGCTCGAACCCACGACTTCACGACTACTAATCCGACGCCCTAACCACTACCCTACCGTGCAATTTGTAAAATTTCTACTTCTAATCGCCCATATTAATTCCACCTCGGTTTTTTTCGACTTGAACGTTTTATTACTCAGCTAATAGAGATATTAAGTAATTGAACTATAGTTTAATTGGTAAATTAATTCAATAATGAACGGCAATGATAATAACTATTGATTATAATAATAATTATAACAATGATGATTAATTTTGAATAGCGATTCTCCTTTTTTTCATGATAATTAGCGAATAACACGTGACTTTAATACCTACAATGCCACCATTTTATTTTTATGATTACACCCTTAAAAGTTTACTCTTCAGATTTTACCCTTATGATTTCACCCCTATGATTCCATTCTCATGATCTCACCCTTACGACTTAACCCTTACAATTACACCAACGGCTAGAGCCCGATGACCAAGCTCCGGGCCACCGCTGGCTGGAGCTTGGTTATCGAGCTCCGACATGCTAATGTTCGGCCAAGGCTGGGCCAGATCTGTCAACCAAGGCTCGATTATCCACCCTCCCTCGAGACTCAAGCCCTGATCCTCAGAAATGGCCGAACCTTGGTCCAAGCATGGGCGCCCAGACGGCCGGTTTTTCCAACACTGGATTTCCTACGTGAGTTACTACGCTTTTCACTTTAGGGGGTTAGCTCTCTATCACTCGCCCTCGGCCGCTAGCCTTCATTCATCGCACGGTTAGCGCAGTGCCGCTGGGTTCAACCGAGCGCGCTGTTGCCACCATGGCGCTTACGGCTATGCGCGCATTTCAAGTGTGGCGGTGAATGTAGCAACACTGCCGCTCGAGGGGTCGACAGGGACTGATGCGCACTGGGCGACGCGGCGCCGCTCTTCCGTCCGTTCGACGTTTCTTTTCTTTTTGTAGCTAAACAACTTTTTCGAGAAAAAAATGGACAACACCAACGCTTAATAAAACAATTGAACTAGAAACTCATGTTTTCAGAATTTTTGAGCATTGAGAAGCACGCTAAAATTTTTTTTTTTTATGAAAATGGGCGACACCGCGCTTATTGAGCGAGTGATCGAGGGTTAAGTGATTCCACTACAGTTTAATCGGTAAATTAATTCAATAATGAATGATCAATGACAATTATAACAATGATGATTAATTTTTAATGACGATTCTTCTTTTCCTCATACTAATTAACGAATAATCTTGATCTTTTATCTTGACCATCACATCCTTAAAATTTTACCCTAAAAATTCCACCCTTATCATTAAACCCTCACAGTGTCACCCGTATGATTTTCTCACCCCTTTCCATTATTACGATTAACCCTTGCAATTTTACTCTTCAGACTTCCCCCTTATGATTTCACCCTCATGATTCCATTCTCATGATTTTACTCTTATGGCTTAACCCTCACAATTAGACCAACGACTGGAACCCAATTCTGGGCCACTGCTGGTTGGGGATAAGTTATCCAGCACTAACATGCCAATGTTCAGTTCAAGGCTGGGTCAGATCTGTCACCCAAAGCTCGATTACCCACTTCCCCCCGAAAGTCAAGCCCTGGTCCCCAGGGATGGTCGAACTTCGGAGCAAGTGGGCGCCAAGGCTTGGCAACCTTAGTAGAAATTTCATTGCGCAGAAACGTCGCGGCGTAATCTGGCGCGCGACATTGCCTTTTTGCGGCGATGTATCTCAGAAAGGTACCCGAGTGGAAATTCTGTTCAGGTCTCGATCAGAAACTAATCAAGTCCGATCCAAAATTCTGATCAGGCATGTTACGCCTCTGCCTTATGTTTTTCCACTAGGGTACGCAACAGGGTCGCTGAGACAGGGCTGCGCGGGGTTTATGGGAGATGGACCCATCTGTGTCCGCCCTAACCTCAAATCCCGTCAATTAAGAATTCACAATCAGATTATGCGTATTAATTCAAGTGAATTATTGAACGATTATCGATTTGTTAGTGAGTAATAGTCTCTCGCAACTCATTGATGATTATGATTATCGATAAAATGAAAAAATGGGAGCGCACCACGTCAGTGTCGCATAGGGTTCCAGCAGCAACCTAGCCGCGGAGTACGGCAGCGCACTCCGTGCGTGAATGTCGCTGCAACAGCCAATGTCGCAGAGCCTTCCACAATTTCTAGTAGGGAAGCTCAGGCTTGTGCCGCGCACTTGGCCCGTTTGTCCAATACTGACATTTCCTACCTGCGAGGGGGGGGNCATATAGCCATTGGGGTGTAAGTACCAAAAACCCCCTTTTTGGAAGCCGAAAGAGCGTATATCCCTTTTCAATACACTGTTAAAAAATTACTCTTGAAATTTCACGTACAAAATCTTGAAATTCTTAACAATCACTCATTTAGGCTAAATTTTCATGTATTTTATTATTGAAAAATTTGTTCAATTCTGGAATATTCAATAGAATTACAATTTTTAGATGATGATGAAAATTATTAAATAATTTGAAAATTCAAGTAACATTTTTCTTCAGTCTACAGTGTTGAAAATTTTCGTCTGAATTTTCCGTGTCAAATTCCGGAAATTTTTATCTTGTTAAAGTTCCACTGGAATTTCAGAAAATCTTGTTATTGAAAAATCAAATATTCCATTGATTTTCTGTTCAAATGATCTGAAAATCAATGAAATACTTAATTTTCCAGTTCAATTATTCTGTGAATAATTCAGAAAAATCAGGAGCATTCAGGGAAGAATTGAAAATTCATGAAATTTTGTTTCTGAATATTCATGTTCCACTGAAAATTCAATCACGTTGTGAAATTTCCATCTCACTCCCACTGAAAACTCATGAATTTCGGTGAATTCTACTTAAATTTGAAATTTCATAACCATTTTTTCTCTCAATCTGATTCTATGTCACTCTCATGAGATTTACTATAATATCTTCCATGGAATTTCAAAAAATTTCTAACAGTGCACTGAAAATTTAGTTCGATGTGATGACATTCTAGATGACATTGAAATATCAGTGATAATCTATTAAACATGAAAAACCCAATTATCCTGAATTTCCAACCTGAATGGGAGATTCAACCACGAACAACTTGATCTTAAATTGAATTCAAATTCACAACATTGAGAATTTAAGGGCAACTATTGATTAATTTTCAAAAAAAATTTAACAGTGTAATGTTTCGACTTTTCGTTCAATTTCTAAACAAAAATTAGTTAACAAACAAAATTCAAATAAAGGGGCATAATCATCTATTTTCACCGACAAAGGGGCGTAACTCCACGCTTATGTTTCTTTGCCATTATCAGTTGTACACTTTGGGGAACCCAATTCATAACGAAAATTCCATTGCGTAAATTCCGTGGTGCGTCCATTGCGGCATCATCTTTACACAATTATTCACCAGCGGACTTGACAGATACTTTATGCATATTTTACGCACTAGTAATCCAACTATGGCGCATAACCCTACTCCAGGGAGTTTAGCCAAAAGGAGAGAGTAGAACTAATCCATCTGTATAAAGTTCGCGCTTTATTTTCAATATTAACATTGTAAATATTTACAGATCCTTCTTCGGAGCACAAAACATATTGAGAAATCGATAGCATACGATTTCCTCAGGCCATGGTTGGGAGAAGGATTATTGAATTCATCAGGTACATAAAAACCAATAGTAAAGTTTTTGTTATTTATGGCTGTAAGACTGTTGAATAATCAAGATTCAATATTTAACGAGACATGAAAATTTAGCTTAAAACGGTGGGCTTTGCCATTTAAAATTTTTATCGCCGGAATCTTGAAATCGCTTAAAATTGTTATTCCTCGAACTTTTACATATTTTAGGAGAAAAATGGTTCCACGATCGAAAGTTAATATCTCCAGCCTTTCATTTCGGTATTCTTGAACATTTCTCAGACGTCATCGTAGAAAAAGCCGCCATATTCAATGGACGGTTGAGGGAGCAAGTGCAATTAAATGGTGATAAACCATTCGACATATTCCCTATGACTGGAAAATGTGCGCTAGACATCATCTGCGGTAACTGGAAGATTAGTTTTGCATGCCATCTTCGTGTTATCAATATTTTATGAATAAAGTATATATTGAATAAAGTATTTAAAGTAGAAATAAAGAATATGATTTTAGAAACTGCAATGGGAGTGGACGTCGATGCCCAGAATAGCGTTGAAAGTGAATACAGCTGGGCTGTTGAGTGGTATGATTGCAACTATGAAATGTAAAATATTTACTTATTGTTAATGGCCAGGAAAAGAAAGACACGTGTTTTTTCAGTCTATCAAAGCAGGCAATGCTTCGTAGAGAGCGCCCATGGCTGCAGCTGGACTGGTTTTACTACCGTACAGAGAATGGAAAACAATTCGAGGCTGCCGTGAAAATAGCGAATGGCATATCCGTTCAAGTTAATATTTTCTTGGAATTTCATCATGCATTTGCAGCATTGATAACCAATAACCAGTAACAAACCTCAGTGTAACAAATTTTACTTATGACAACAAATGAAAAAGTGAGCTGATACACGAAGAGAAAAATTCAATCAAAATTATCAGAAAAAAAACGTAAAAATTACGTTTCGAAACGTAATTCACAAGCGAAGTAAAATTCAATAAAAAATGTACGAATCGCCACGTAAATTCTACGATTTGTTCCGTAAAAATTAACCACCCGTCTGATGACCCACCGCTGTGGGGACAACAAGTCGTTTCGTAATTTTTCCCCAATGATTGAGAAATTTTACGGAACGAAACGCAGAAATAACTCACCAGCTTCATAAAAATTGTTGAACGTTCAAGAATTTTTTATTTTGGAGGCATAATAAGTCGGCAAGTTTCTGGAAGATTTTACTTCTTCAGGAAAAATTACATGACAATTTCGTACTTTGTTCGGTGATGAACCTGAGAATTCACTGAACGTTTCAGATTTCGTCCGAATTGTTCCGTAATTTTTACTGAATATTTCTCTCCGTGTAAGAAAAGGAATTTGTGATTGATATTTGTTGGATCAACATATCGATTACTTGGAGATGACAAAACTCTATTGCTCGAACAGGTCGAGCACTATTGGAATCTCATGGGTACCCGAGGAAAGTTGAAAGGGATCTATAATTGTCATTATATGATTTCCTCTTCATTCAGGCTCAGATAAATTGAGAAGTTAGTCGGTGTAAGAGTTGAAAAGTTCCCGAGAACATTTGGTGTGTTAATATTTTTAGTTACTTTTCATTTTTTACCGAGAGTAATCGCCAGTATCGGACGAGGGAGACAAGAGGTGTGACCTCAAGGACCAAACGGGAGTTGCGAACTGAGTAATGACAAGGGTCCACCCAAAAAAAATCGTCATGAATCAAGTCGAAAAATCGGTCTAAATCAAGTCAGACTGAATCATGCCGGGAATTGACTTATTTCATGTCGAATCGACGACATGAATCAAGTCTGATTCGGCGAGATCCAAACCGGCACATCAGTCTGACTCAAGTCGATTTCTCAACTGGATTCAAATCGATTCTTCGACTTGATTCTGATTGATTTTTTGACTTGATTCAAGTCGATTTTTTGCGAGAATAAAGAGGTACATAATAGTATCACAAACCCTAGGGGGCCGGCGCACGGCGGTGGTGGGCTGGCTTAGCTTTTGGAAGCTAAGCAGCGCTGAGCGTGGTCACTAGAAGGATGGGTGGCCGCGAGGGTACATCTCTGGAAGGTTTCGAATTTTTCGAAAACTGGAAGAAGCATTAGGAACTAATATGCGGCTGGAAAAGTTAAAATTCGTAAGAAACCGAAAAGTATACGGTAATGGAAAAGTAATAGTTGATCTATCACAACAAACCCCCAAATCCATAATGCTCCACGATGATTTGTTGTTACAAGTAAAATTTTGCACATCACTTGTAAAAACTTTTGCTAACGTCTTGGTAACAAAGAAAATGTATTCCTATACTGAGAAAAAAATTTTCTAATATCTGAAACATATTTTCTTGAGACAAGTATATTTTCTTCAATTGCTTAATTCTCTCAGACATCTCAACTCACATGACCCGAGAAAGGCCTCATGCTTTAAAATATTCTTGCACTCAAGTATGATTTTGTCGCAAATGAACTTACTTAAATCGCGTAGAAGATTCGTCAATCTTCTAGTCTTTATTGTTTTCATGATTTTTTCGTTATGCACTTTCAATATTGCAATATGTAAAATATTCATGACGTAACGCGGAAAGATAGTGATGAATGAAAATTTATTCGAGTTCCGTGAAGTGCACACATTCTGAGATTTAAGCCTTTGAAAATAATTTACTTCTCTCAAGAAAATATGCTTCAGATATTAGAAATTTTTTTTCTCAGTGTAGTAAGTAGAGAGATACTGTAGTCAGCTATATTCGTTCATAGGTGATCGTGCAAAAAAAAGCTGAGAGGCAGCGAAAGTTGAAAAACCATGATAACGCTAAAGATGCAGATGACGAAACAGGTAAAATTTTTTTATATGAGAAGTAAAGGTCAAGTAGTGATTATTGGAGAATTAAATCCAATAATCACTACTTGATTCAATGTTGTAATCTTTGAAAACGTCCAGGAAATATTGATTATTCCTAGTGATATATAAATGGCTTCAATGACTTCGTAGGATGAATTGTTGCAGTGATTTTATAACAAATTACTGAAACCATAGCTTGTCAAGTTGTAAATTAGAGTACTAGCTTATAAATTCCTGTTTCGACGAATGTGAAGTTTACAGGCCGAGCTGACGGCGAGCACTATATAGTACGTTACGTAACTAGTGCGGAAAGCAGGCGGATACCGCCTGCTGTCCGCACGTGTTGCGTATACTATTTTATATAATAAGTGCGTGATGAAGTGCGGGGGTTGTGGGGAGGGCGAGTGGGGGGTGTGGGGGGCGAAGCCCCCCACGAGAAAAGGTGGCCCAGGGGGCGAAGCCCCCGGTGGGGGAGGGGGTTGGGGGGGGCGAAGCCCCCCCCCCACTGAAGAAAAAAGATCACATTTATTTAAAAAAGTAATCATAAAAAAGTGTGATTGAAAAATTTCATTTTCGTTACTGAATTCTCAATGACTTATCACTAATTTCTAGAAATCAATCACCAAATTTCAGTGAAGCTTCGGTGAATTCTGTGACATGTCGCTGAAAAGCAAAAATAATTTTTCTCTGTTTCCTTGACATTATTTTGATCATTAGAATTCAATAAAGCCCTTAAGTTATAGTATTTGATCGAAGAAGGAGTTTTTGGCGATCCTGCTGCTGCTTCATTGGAGAATATTTCATTTCCATTTTCTTCAAATATCACATCACCAATCAACTCCTCCTTATCAGTAAATAAATCCTCCTCACTGCCTAACTCTTCATCACTATCAGGAATTATACGATTTGGGCTCATTTTATCTGCTTCGAAAATCACCTTTTCATTTTTCAGTCATTCCATGTATTCACTATTCGGAGGTTAGATTTCCTTCCTTGTTATTCTCTTGAATAGGTGATGCGCATGCGCGTCATGCGTTATTTCGGGTTTTAGTTGAGTGTGGGTAGGCGCTCGAAACCCGCTACTTTCCAGTTGACTATAGTCAACTGAAACCCATGCGGTTACACGCACGTATCATATAAATATTTTTTGACACTGCTGTTACGTTCACCTCGTACCAAAAAGTGCATTTTCGTTTACTCGTAAGCGAAATGTAAACGAAAAGTCTTCTACTCTCGTTTACTTGTAAACGAAAAAGGCACAGTTCGGTCACTCACTGAACGGAACATCACTGTCAAAAAATATTGTTCGACACATGTGAGACGGTAATTTTTAGCTCGTGTGATTGGTAGCCTTGGTATTCGTGTGATTGGCATCTTCACGCTCGTGGAAATTCCATCTTACTTATATCGAAATATATTATTTCAGACTGCTGCTACGTTCATCTCGCGCCGAAAAGTGCCTTTTCGTTTACTCGTAAGCGAAAAGTAAACGAAAAGTCTTCTGTTCTCATTTACTTGTAAACAAAAAAGACACAGTTCGGCCACTCACTAAACGTAGCATCACTGTCAAAAAATATTGTTTGACATATGTGAGACGAGAATTTTTAGCTCGTGTGATTGGCAGCCCTCAGCATCACCTCTGGACTCGTATCGAAATATACTATCATATCACTTCGTGCAGAAGTTGAGTTTAGAGCACGCTATGCTTCGCGATAAACTCGATTTATTATACGGGATGATATAAAAATAATTGACAAATTTCTGACATTTTCGTATTTTTTCATAGTAAGAAGAGAGAGAAAGGGGGAAAATAATCGTGTCAATTAAGATAATGAATGACTCTAATCACAATGAATAACTCGGATGCTCTTACGATTTCGTTATACGCCTTCAAAAATTACAATCTCAACAAAGTTTTTAGTTAAACTCAGGGATAGCCAAATTCATAATATTTAATTACCGTTAAATATTGTAGCCATCAATTAGTCAACATCACTCTTAAATTTTTTTAATACTTAAGTATAAAAATGAATTATACTTAAGTATAATTTGAATCGTCAATTCAAATATTTAAATTTTCAACAATTTTATCAATCAATAATTGAGGTAGGAAGATTGACGATTATTTGTGTAATCAAAAATCCCCTTTTAAAAAATTTGAATTATTCACTTAGTGGTAAATTTACAGTTCCAAATTAACAAATTTTAATTCATCATTATTCGAAAATAGCCGATTTTTAATATTATATTCTTTGAAAAATTTGATCAGCATATTTTAAGCTTTTATTAATGTAAGGCGCAAATTCTTGTAATATTACAGAAATTTAATATTGATGGCGATCCCTGGTTAAACTAACCCTGCATACGGCAATATATCTCTCATTCATTATACAGGGAAACCAACGAGACGGGCATTCTTGGATATACTACTCGAGGCCACTGAAAACAACGCAAAACCCATGACAATTCAAGAAATGCAAGAACAAGTCAACACTTTTATGTTTGCAGTACGTCATGAAAAACATATGTTCACAATTGTACTTACTCCAGTTAATGAAGAAGTTATGGTGAAACTTACAGGGTCATGACACAACTGGTGCCCTACTGAGTTGGTCTCTATTCTCCATTGGGAATAATGAGAAAGTGCAGGACCGTATTCATCAAGAGCTGGATGAAGTTTTTGGAGACTCGAATGAACCAATAACCACAAAACAACTTCCTCAGTTGAAGTATTTGGACAGAGTTATAAAAGAAGTTTTGCGATTGTTTCCAAGCGCCCCACTAATTAGCCGAAGAATATCTGAGGATTTACAAATGGGTATATTTAAAGTTTTCAATTTCACATGTAGAACAATTTTTTTCAGCAAAAGTACAATGGAAAAAAAAACGCCATAATTGTTTTGATGCGTAATCGTGAGGCATATGATGTCGATTTCATAAAAAGTAGTGTTCCCTACACCAATTTCGATTGCAAGATCTCCTTACACGAAACAATTGTGAGCCAAAATGTATTTTTTATCGATCCATGTACGAGAAAATTTTATAGAAAAAGCTAGTGCATTCGTTCGAAAATTCTATTGCATTTCTATAGAATCTCTATTAATTTTTCACTGATTCTATTGGCAAAATCTATAGTTTTTCATCTGCGCGATTTTTTCAACAGTAATGTACAGAACAATATATTTTATAGAAAAATAGATTGCATCCCATTATATTTCATTATAGCTATATGCTTCAAACTGTAGAAAGCCAAGTACCGAGGAAAAACAGATAGAATTTTATTTTTCTACACATTTTATTCTATTGGGATGTTTCCTATAGAAAATTCTAGGCCTCAATTTTCTATGGTTTTCGTTTGATTTTTTGACGTGGATACGTCTATGTTTTCATTATGGGAGCATTCAGTGAAAAAGTCCTTATGGTTCCTTATCGACAGTGGCGCCATCTATCGGAATTCTAGAACATTCTAGATTTTTCTACAAAAGTTTAGATTTCTCTAGAAAATTCGAAAAAATTCTCCAGTTTTTTTAGAAATATATTACAATTTTGAGGGATTCTTAGCGCTGATCCGCAATATACCGACACTTGGTTATTATTGCGCGAAATGGATAAAATTTGTGGATCCGTGTTAAAATTCGCAAGTGTTTGTATGTGACGTTTTCGTTGTAAATGAAATATGTTAAATGGTTGTTTAGAGATTTTGGTTGTATATAACAATTTAATCGTATCGTGATTATAAAAAACGTCTTATCATGACGAGATGGTGCGAAATCCCTACTTGTTCTCATATACCTATATAAATATATACAATGAAAAACTATGATGTTCAGTAAAGGAAAGGAAAGACTATAGACGTATTCACGTAAAACTACGGCTGTATTAATGATACAGCCATCCGCCGATTTTTTTACAATGAGAGGAGAAAATTAATAGATTGCAAAAAACTATGAAAATTTATATCGAGGAATTATATCTATAGAATGAGTTACATAGAAATATCAAATTCTACAGATTTTTTTCCTAAATTTTTCGGGAATTCGGGTAAAACTATTAGGAATCGACATTCCGCCATCGATTACAGTGAGTTGTCACATCAATTTTTGTCAAGTCTTTTCCGTGTATATTCTTTTTATGTTGAGTCGAATGGTAATTAATTGTATTTGACGCTCATTCAAACAGGTCCATACACTATCCCGCCAGGTTCTACAGTGGCATTACAAATCTACCAAGTTCATCGGGATCCAAAACACTGGCCAAATCCAAAGCAGTTCGATCCTGATCGCTTTTTACCGGAAAATTCAAATGGTCGACATCCTTACAGTTTCATACCGTTTAGTGGTGGCCTACGGAATTGTGTTGGTCAAAAATTTGCCATAATGGAGGCCAAAATTGTGCTGACCGAAGTACTACGAAAATGGAGAATTAAAAGTCAGAAAAGTTTTGAAGATATTGAAGCATATACTGCGCTTATATTGAGACCACATAGCGGAATTTTAATGAATTTTTATCCTCGAAACCACCCGTAACTCTGGCTCTTCGAAGAATTTATAGAACGAGGTTTGAAGTAGTTCTGTCTCCGACCAACAGTGTTCGAATTTTTCAAGAGAAATTAATTAGATTAGCATTTTTGTAATATTTTCGTTTCATTAATAAATATTGGAACTTGGTTAAAAACAGATGATGACTTTTTATTAGAGGTTGACACATTTTCTTAATGTTCTACTTTTAATTTTAAAAAACTGATTTCAATTTCTAGTTACAACCAACGTATCAAATTATTGATTTGTTGTTATAAGGCCCAATGCCTATTGGGTTAACCCGTTGTTTCGCGTAAGTTTCGAATCGTCTCGGTGTGAGAGGAGTGGGGGGTCCGTCCGAGTATTTGTGCACCGTAAGAGCAGCACGCTAGCGCACGCACATCACTGCAAAACGGCGAAAAATGGGGTATCGTGAGATGAAGCAAAGGGTTAAACTCGGAAAAACAAATAATGAAGCTACGGGGTACCTTTGTTAAGAATTGTTAATCATCTTTGAAATCGGCCTGTTTATATCACTTCAAAGTCTATATATTTCACGTTGGTAGCCAACATCGCCCCGACGTTAAAATTGTTTACCTTTCCCTAAATATTGGTTTTAAAATAAATACTTTCAACAACAGATCATGCAACTTTAAAAATCATTTTTGTTGTTGCCCTGCTTCTGGGGTTTCTCAAATTTTGCATGAACAATGTGTGAACAAATCATGAAATTGGCTGCATTTTTGTAAAATCCTACTCCTCGCCCGATTATCCTTAATTGTAATCGCCAATAAATTACCAATGGATGTGAAAAGAATTATGATTATCAATGTGTTCTATCAATTACTCGTTCTGACCGCGCACCAGTGATTAGAATACATTGAAATTACACATTTAAAAAACCCCTCCTGCTGGTTGAGTCGATCTGGGTCTTGTTGATCCGTAATCAAATGTTCACTAGGCCATCAAAAACTTCTTAGAATAATATATTTTTTTGGGGGAATACGGATACAATGAAATATCCTTCAACTTATGTAGTGAAACCATCAGAAATGACATACATAATAAGCCTGATCAATAAATGAATTAAAAATTCATTGATTAATTATCACAACTCGTGCACAAAGGGCTGCCGCAGGCCTGGTTTTCAGCTTCGCTTGGATTATGTGGCGAAAAGTTACGGGCGATGTGAGTAGAGGTGGTGATAATATTTTTACCATCAGTAATGGATGATTAAAGAGTGTTGCCGTACTTAGCTCCAATGCTTGTGGTTTGAACTACAAGCATACGAGCCCATGCTCATATGCCTCATGGCTATATGAGGTATTCTATGCCAAATGAGTCAACGGCTGACCCTCACCCTCTTGAAAATTGATGGCGATTTTTTCTGCGATTGGGGGGCTTGAAAAACTATCTCTCAAATTTTTTCAGATTTTTTTCACAGCCCAGTTCGGAGATATTTTTTTTTCAAATTGTTCGTTTTTTTAATAAATAACTCGAGTTCTACTCATCCGATTTCGATTTATTAGGGATCAAAATTTTCCATTTTTCACCACCTATAAAAATGTATTTCGTCCAAATTTTTTCCCATCTCTACATGCTCAAAGAAACGAATTTTCGAAAAAAAAAGTTGAAAAACTTGAATTTGGCTAATTACGGCACGGTTGATTTTTTTTTTTCAGTAATTCCTATAATCAAAACGAAAATTTTGAGCCGTCATACATGTTGGGTTTCGTCTTAGACCTATTTTATTTTTAATTCTTTATCCTCAAAATTCCGCGAATTCGGTCAAAATACCTCAAAATGTCATTGGTTGACTTTGATTATCAACAGTATGAAGTAAATTTAAATATATACCTATATATTACATATTTTTTCGGTACGTAATTAAAGTCGTTTTAAGGTGTTTTCGCCAATTTTTCGCAATTTTAAAGAGAAAAAATTTAAAAAAAATAGATTCTGGATGGAACCCAATATGTATGACGGCTCAAAATTTTCGTTTTCATTATAATAATTACTGAAAAAAACAATTATAATAATCGACTGGGACGTAATTGGCGAAATTCAAGTTTTTAAACTTTTTTTTTCGAAAATTCGTTATTTCAAGCTTCTAAAGATTGGAAAACAAATTTTAAAAAACCCTCTTATAGGTGTTGAAAAATGGAAAATTTTGCGCCCTAATAAATCGAAATCGGATGAGGAGAACTCGGGTTATTGTAAAAAAATGGAACAATTTAAAAAAAATCATATTTCCGAACTGGGCTGTCAAAAAAATCTGAAAAAATTTGAGAAAGTTTTTCAAGCCCCTTATTCGTAGAAAAAATCGCCGTCAATTTTCAAGAGGGTGAGGGTTAGCCGTTGACTCATTTGGCATGGCTAACCCTATATATATATATCTACGATACTTCGGGTGGCGCTCGTGAGGAGGTAGAGTGGGTGAAGGCTCCGTCGATTTTTTTAGAACAAATTATGTTTTTTTGGCGAAACAAAGTGGAAGAAAGTTGTCGGAGGGGCTCCTTGCAGTGTTATTCACAAGGGAGATAATTAAGTGGAGGTGAAACAGAACTTTTTGAGAGGTTTTCAATGGATTTGTTGGCGGCTGGCAATTTGGAGGTTAGATGACGTGGCGATGACGGCGAGGGGTTAAGAGGGGCAAGAAACGATGGAGACAGGCGGAATTCGTATGGGTTAGGGAGTGGAAAATTTCCAAGATGATGTAAATTGCATTCCGAAAAATTATGAGAAATTGAAATTGAGAGTAGTGAGAGGAAAAAGAGGCAGCCCAAAATAAGAAAGGTTGGGCAAGCGTGGGATGGACGGATAGTGAGACCACGAGGCACAGTGGGACATGGAGAATNTATATATCTACGAAATACTCTGTGTATTTGGCTCCAAAAGGTCAGAAAAACCGGATCGAGTTATGAAAGTTCCTTAGGGGCGGGTGGGGTAAAACGGACACTTTAGAATTTTTTAAAATTATTCATAACTCAGAAACAAAGTGATCAATTGAGCTCAGTTTAGGCTTGTCACAAAGGGAAAGAATTGTTCTTTGTATTGAAAAGAAAATTATTGAATTTTATCACCATTTCAACCGCTTATTAACATTTAAAAAAAATCAAAACTGTCCGTTTTACCCCAACCTCCCCTATAAATATTGTTCTATACCAGGATGTAAAAATACAACAGTAAGAATTATACAACTACGACTTTCGACACTTTGAAACAGATTAAAACCCATAGAATCTATCATCATAGTCACGTCTACCGTTAGTAAATTCACCGAGCACGCCTTTTAAAAATTATTTTTCAGCACAAACGTGATTTGTTACCGCCAATATATTTTTTTATCCACTTTTAATAATTGTTTGAAACATAACCCCCGCGATTTGTCTTGGATGAATGTCTCGCGCTCCGAGAGGCTAGAATAACTCAATAGCGCTGCCAGTGGTTGCAAGGGGAACTTGATTCTGGTGAATTGACGTCATGACCCCCAAAAAGTGTTCAAAATTGATGCATTTTTAATCAGTTATTACAAAATATCCAGACCACTTTTCGGAAAAGTTTTTACTCCGGAATGGTTCATAGACTACAAAGACTCTGTTTATTTGAAAATATTCGAAAATTGGATTCTATGCAAGTTCCCTATTACAGTTTTCATATCTATAATTTAGACTCTAAAATTTATAGTCTAAATTATTGAAATGAATTATAGAATACATAAGAATTGTCTTACTTTTTTTATTTTTTTCGACGAAAAAGCATCAACATGAGTGTCAGTCGTATTTCCATTTGAAGAAGAAAACCAGAGGTAAGTTTATTGATTAATAAGAAAACAAAGAAAGAATCATACACTGTTAAACATTTTTGTCTGAAATTTCCGGTACACTTTTTGGAAATTTTTATCCAATTTAATTACCACTGAAATTTCAAGGAATTTCATCATTAAACAAGCAGTTGATCGAGCCTATTCGGCAGAAGATATTTGACCATTACTACATGCGTTAGTTGTCTTTTTTATTTTCCATTTCTATCAATGCCATTGATAGTAAGCTTCCGAATGGATCCATAGCCATTGTATTGAAAAATAAGATAAGTGCATCACGAAGAATCGATCAATTGAAAATTATACAATATAATGTATCATGGAAAAATTGCTTTTTTTCAATCATCAGATTGGAAACCAAAAAAATCCCAATCAATTGAAGATTCAATTTTAACGGATCTACAAAAGTAGATTTTCCATTTCAAAATTGCACACCAAGATTATTCAATGTTAGAATTTATCACGAGAATTATTCATTGAAAGAGGGACATTCTCTTGTTTTTATCACCTAAAATCTTCAATTTCTTTTTCGAAGAATCATTTTCATTATTCCATTAAGGATGTTCGACACCCTTTTAGCCAAAATTGACGTTGTTTTCATTTTTCTGGCAAATTATCGATGGGAGTGACGTGAAAAAATATAACGATTTTGTGGTTTGTCATTCTTTAATGGCTCACGAAGTTGCGTAGTGGTGCGATAATTTTCATGCGTTTTTTCTACAGTTTTGTGATTCTTTTTAAAAGTTTAGAGAAAACGCAGGAAAATGTTCGCACCACCTTAAAATTTCGTCAGTCATTAAATAATGACAAAACGCAAAAACGTTATATTTTTTCACGTCAATTCCATCATAAGTTTGCCAGAAAAGTTGAAAAAACGTGAATTTTGGTAGAAAGGGTGTAGAACATCCTTAAAATAATGTGTAATGCATTTAAACATTAATTCAAGTTATTAAATATTAAATTTGTAGAGTATTCGGAATTCTCGCAATTTTTTGAATTTCCACAAAATTGCTTCAATTTCCTCTGAGCTCCTTGCAATTATCTTCAATTCCTTGGATCTCCTTTGAATTTCTCGAATTTCCTCGTAATTCCTAGAATTCCCTCGAAATTTCTAGGAACGATGTTTTTTTGGTGTTAAACGCACTTGAATAAAACGTAAAATACGTTTCTATCGAGATTTTAATTGACGATTTTTCAAGCGTAAAATTTGCTCAAGGTGGTTGTCGTGTAACTTTTTTTTCGACAGTTTTTTTTCAAATTTTTATCGTAGATCGCTCTAAAAATTAGCTGTAAAATAAGCCGATTATAACTGCAATTGACC